ACGATTTGGGAGTATTACAACGCATGGAAGCTCCGTGACGAAATTATACGTCATTACATCATTTTTTGTATAGCTGTAATATTTACAGTATAAATAGTTTTGCAAAAGGACTACGCACGACCTCATACTGCACGTGTTGTTAGGGCAAATTAACAGCGGCAGAACATCGCCGTGCTGTGTCACCAGATTTGTCTCCAATCAAGCATGTTCGGAATGAAATGGAGCGGCATCTGCATCAGGAGCCAAACCCTCCTGCAACATTTGAATTGACCAAGACAAAATTCAATGCAGATATTTCAGTTAAGACAGTTTGTTTATAATGTTTTGATCAAGTTCAAATGTTTAAAATTTTTTAACGTTTTTTAACAAAGAAAGAATGGCTGAAAAATAGCCGTTGTTAAATTCGTTATTTTTCCGCAAAGTAGCATTTGAGTGTCACGGTAAAAGTCCATTTGTTACATGGACTACAACATATAACAAAGACTCGCATTCCTATGATTGCAGTATTCGGCTTTGGTATGGGACACGCCGTATTCCCAATATGTAACAACACACCAGTCTTGAAAACGGCCCCGGGGTCAAACAGACCGGAAATATTGTCTTTCCAAAGTAGGTCAAAAGAGAGTTCAGTGACCTACTTCTGAATGCGGTCAATAGAGTACCGAACACTGACCAATGTAAATACGGTCTGTAGAGTACCGAACACTGACCAATGTAAATCCGTTCTATAGAGTACCGAACACTGACCAATGTAAATCCGGTCTTTAGAGTACCGAACACAGACCAATGTAAATACGGTCTATACCGAACACTGACCAATGTAAATCCGTTCTATAGAGTACCGAACACTGACCAGTGTAAATACGGTCTATACCGAACACTGACCAATGTAAATCCGTTCTATAGAGTACCGAACACTGACCAATGTAAATCCGGTCTTTAGAGAACCGAACACTGACCAATGTAAATCCGGTCTTGAGAGAACCGAACACTGACCAATGTAAATCCGTTCTATAGAGTACCGAACACTGACCAATGTAAATCCGGTCTTTAGAGAACCGAACACTGACCAATGTAAATCCGGTCTTGAGAGAACCGAACACTGACCAATGTAAATCCGGTCTTGAGAGAACCGAACACTGACCAATGTAAATCCGTTCTATAGAGTACCGAACACTGACCAATGTAAATCCGGTCAATAGAGTACCGAACACTGACCAATGTAAATCCGGTCTTTAGAGAACCGAACACTGACCAATGTAAATCCGGTCTATAGAGTACCGAACACTGACCAATGTAAATCCGGTCTTTAGAGAACCGAACACTGACCTATGTTAATACGGTCTATAATGAACACTGACCAATGTAAATCCGGTCTTTAGAGAACCGAACACTGACCAATGTGAATCCGTTCTATAGAGTACCGAACACTGACCAATGTAAATCCGGTCTTTAGAGTACCGAACACTGACCTATGTTAATACGGTCTATACCGAACATTGACTAATGTAAATCCGGTCTTTAGAGAACCGAACTGACCACTTCAACAAATTTTAATTGAGGAAAGAAATGTAAACTATTTTCGGCGATCAAGACCGGATAAAAAAGCCATCCCGTGCGGAGATCGACCATTCGATGTACAAACTAAGAACATAAAACATCACAAGCATAAAATTGATAGATACTCTTACAGACATGACATCACAACGATCAAGATTATTCCGGTTGTATATTTTCAAAACAAAATTACAAATTAAAACAAGGCACGGCAAACGGAATATCACAAAAACTGATTTTGTCAACCCAAGATCATCCTCTTCCATCATTCGACCACCCTCAACATCCTTCTCTGCTCTGAGACTTGAAATGAATCTGCAGCATAAAAAACTTTATTGAATTTATTTTAACAATGTATTTTGAACAGCATCATGAGTACTAGCTTACTTGTATCGATCCGTCAACATGTAAACGATGTCTACTTCATAATACAGTTATTTAGAATATTCTGTGTTGTATTTCTAAATTTATAACAACTGACTACATGTTATGTACGTGTTTGCTGCACGATCCTTCCTGTGTAGTAATATAAACACGATCAGAATTGATTTTGATTATAGTGATATATGAAAGATATTCATTAATACCACATTAAATGTTCTTGTCCGCCTCAAACGTATTTAGATGTCATTATTATGTTCCTTAAATGACGTCCGTACTGACGATTCAGAATCTTCAACAACCAATACATTGACACAATAATAAGGATATATGACGAGGAAAGGGGGAGGAGGAATACAGTGCCTACCTAGCATTTTATTCCTTTATCTGGTCCAGCCACTGACAGAAATGATCATACTCAGGAGAAGAATATTCAACTTCTAATGACAAACTGCCAAAAGGGAGAGAGGTATTTTAAATACAATACAGTGCCTACCTAGCGAGGAACTGGGTACCAATAGTTGATCTGGCGCTGGATACAAAGAGGAAACAGAACCATGTGCTTCTCTTCAAACTGGTGACAAAATTTCCTCCGCCAGTAGAGGTCATCCTGGGGCAGCTCCTTGGTCAACACCACGGATAACTCGAGTCCATAGTTGAACAATTTCATTGCTTTTGCCCGCTCGGCAAAATTAGCTTTGTCCCTCTTTCGAGATCCGGAGGGCTTCCACAAAGATCTTCGTTTGACCTGACAGGGTACGGTTCCGCAATGAGGACAGCGTGAACGACCTAGACAAGAACATGACGGGTACATCACGATAGAGGAAATAGGATGTAAAGTAAATATAACAAAAAGAGGACGGAAACTCATCAGACAATATTACTTACGAGTCCTCCATTCGTGGATCATCGACATCATGGTTGAGTATCCCTTTCTGACACGTCTCCCAATGGCTGGAGCGTTCCTTAACAGCAGGCTTACAAGGGCACAGAGGAGAGTACACAACATCTCATTGCCAATTTGCTGATATGAAAGAAGAAATACATATTTTTTGACCGAGAAAACAGTTTTCAATGTGGAAAGCGGCCGATGATTTAAAACTTGATACAATTAGACCAAGTTAGAAATAAAGTATAATTTAGTACGGAGTCCCATATGATTTTTACCTTTTTGATATCGGCAGGTGTTGGACAAACTTTCTCTAATTCCGATGCGGTAAAATGGTAGTAAAATCTTTGGAGATATCCTGGCTCCGGTTCCACGCTTAATGGAAAGAAAATGAAAGTGAACGATGAAGTAATTCTTGATTTGTAAAAAAATATTCTTTTGTTAATACAAAACTCCAAAAGATATTGACATTTTCTGAGAATATCGCGCGTGCCGACAAAATAGTCGCAGTTGCAAAGTATAAAGAAAACTTGCTAAACTTACCATACAAGGCCCTGATATACACCGGGACCTTGTTGCATTACGCTCAGCATTACCACAAATAGCAGGAATAACCTTATATCCATTGTGGTAAGCCAAAGGTTTACAATAAAAAGTAAAATTCAGGGGAGAGACTCATCATCTCCGCCTTTACCGATTGCTAAGCAGCTTAGCAACTAGAATATGACGTCACAAATGGACCAATGTAATAAACCATGATGACGTCATATTTTTTTTCTGTGTCGCACAATAGACAGCTAACATGACAAGTGTGTTTCTCCTTCTCTCTTTTTTCTTTGTTCTTTGATGAAGACGGGGAACTGTTTCGGGAAGTCTCCCCGCTCGCACCCGACACAGACCTGGTCATTTGGTGGGTCTATTTCAATAGCAAAGACATATTTAGGAGTATTGTTGAAGACTTCTCAAAAAACGATAATGTTTCCGTTTTCATTGGTATTTTAATATTCTAAAGCTGTAATGGTAATGGATCATACTAAAACCCGTGTTAGCAATACCTGACCTTGCAGACATCCTGAAATATACCGAAAAATTGTCATAAATGACCCAACGAGCAAGGCTCTGAATGTAGATATGATCTGTCTATCTGTCTGTCTGTCTGTCTATCTGTCTGACTATTTTTTTTTTTTTTTTACTTTAACGGCACTCTTTTAATCGGGATTGATCCTGGATGTCGATAAAACCCTGTTTCAATATCGGCCAAGTATTTCTCGAGAGGAAAATGCTGTCATTTGTTAAACACTTGATACTGGTGCTATCACTTAATCGCTATGGCATTCCCTGTGATAACGGTGTCTGTATGACAATTAAACACCGTCAGTCACAGAAATAGCGACTCATTCAGATATCGGTTAGATGGCCGTACAGCGAATCGATCTGTAATTTAGTAGGCTACACCTGTCAACAATACAAACAGGTGCTAACATCAGATAATTTTATATCTTAGTGTCAGACATCGTCATACAGATACAAATTAGTTCAAATTATGGCTGTCAACTCAACATGTTCTACGATGGTTTGGATGCCTTGGTATCGGAAAAAACATTGCGTGGCTGTTAAAATCATACAGAAGGATAAAATCAAATTGTGTTGAATAGGATGTCTTTGCGTCAATGTATTTGATGCAAACAGGAATCAAATCACCGTGTTGTAATCTTTACATAAAAATAACACACCGATTGTTTGAATATTTTGAGGTTGGAAACATTCGTACAAACAGGAAAATCAACACAGGCCTACCAACATTAACATGATTATATAAAGCTCCATTTCTTTTTTGATTGCCATCCTTGTAGTGACTAACATGGGATAGCTTTAATGTTCAACAACTGTTTACACCGGATGTGACCTTTCGTCATGGAATAAGGTCACAGGTCGGAGGACTGAAATCTGGATGCCAACGGGTCAACTTTAAGACAACATTTATGTTTTGGTTGTCAGCTTCATATTGGATAATATTGTCGACATAGATTGGGTGTATTAATATTATCTATTTCCGGTACAGTAAACACTCCAATACGGGGTTGTGAATAATATAGTTCATACGTTCGAGGGTCGCATACTGCAATACTGACTCAAACCAACAATCGTTAGCATTAAAGTATTGTATATTATGATGGCTGCTCATAAAACAGACATGGTTTGGTTAGAAATAATTGATGCTAATCCTGTTGAGAAGGTTCCAATCGCATGCGTGTGTGCTGAAGGACTGAACGGAACTATAACTTTCATCGATGAAAATGCCCAGGACATTCCTCGAGCAGATGACCAGTGCTTTCCTTTTCCAGAAAATGTCCACGAACAAATAAAACAGATCGTTCTTATTCCAATTACAATCCTGATTCTCGGATGTAATTCAGGAGTTTTGTGTCTAATTGCGACAAACAAAATCTTCCGTACTCCAGCCTACCTTCTCATTGCAAACCTTGGCCTTGCCGATCTGACAGTCGGTGTCGTAAGCATCGGCACCATGCTTACTCAAGCTAAAGAGGAAACTCTCGACCTGTGTTTAGTTCGGATAGGATTCACAGTGGCATGTTGTGTTTCTTCGATTATCTGTCTGATGTGTATCGCCATAGAACGGTATATCGCCATCACGTATTCGCTGACGTACAGACAAACTGTTACGGCTTGCAAGGTAACTGTAGTGGTTCTCCTTTCATGGCTTGTATCGCTCGTGGTTGGATTCGCCCCTTTGATAGGATGGAAGATAGAATCATATCACTACTATTGTTCCTTTCTTTACGTCCTTCCATCTGACTACATAATATTTTTGTTTTCTTCCTGTGTTTTCCTACCAATAGTTGTAACTTTTACAATGTATGCAGTGATCTATAAGTATGCCAGACGGCACATCAAGAGAATTGAAGCCATAGAAAATCTTAACTTAGACAGAAGAAATAATAGAATTTTCAGATTTTCTCCAAGAAATTTGAGATCTCTGAAAACCTTGCTGGCAGTTTTTGGTTGTGTCATTGTCACGTGGCTGCCGTTTTTGATTGGAACGATCACCCAGGTCATATATGGTTATACTACCTGTTTCTTAAAGGACATTGTAGGAACGCATCTTCTGTTATTGGGGTTCACAAACTCGTTCCTGAATCCATTGATATACGCGCTGGGAACCAAGGACTTTAGAGACAAAGTCAGAGAAACGTTTGGGCGTCGCGTCAGTTTTAACTCTCCGTAATAAGGAGTAAATATAAGGTCACCGGGTCAACTGCAACAATCCGGAATAGTAGAGACAGTCTGGTGTTTGACTAGATGTAACTCTCCGTCACGGTAGAAACCTCCATAACATTCGGGTACCAGTTTTAAGTCTCCTAAACATAAGAAACCTTCGGGTGACGCGTCAACTACAACCCTTTCTAAGAAGGACACATTCTGACGTTGCAGCAGTTGTAACTTTCCGTAACAGGAAAAAAGTCCAGGTGTAAATTTCCGTTTGGACTCCACGTCCATTGTAACCTTCCATATAGAAGAAGCATCACGTAAATTACTTTTATTATTGTACGTACGTCTGTTGTTATATACAGAAACAATCCATTTCATTTATGCTATTCTTCATTTAGGATGACGAATTTTCATTTCATTAATTCTAGATCAACAATTCCGGGGAACATTTATTTGTCATAATTACAAAATGAGATTCAGATAAAAAGCATCCCCGTAAAGACACAACAAATAGGTAAGAGGTACACTTTTTACATTTACAATTAACTTATTGTACATGTAAGGTAAGTTTATTCTAGTGCAGGAGTTTATAAAAGTCCTCTATACGAGACTAATACACAACAAATAATGGTTTTTTCAATACATCCATCCGGTCTTGTACTTTGATGTCAATGTTCGATTGTTGCTTTGTAATTCAAGCCTTTTTTTATTTACCTTTAAAACAACGTTTTCTGGCAGATCAAATTATTACAGTTCTGATTGAAAAACAGTTTTTCCTGAGCATATTTATGGGTCGTTTCGAGAATGATATTTTCGTATGTCTATGCCTGTGGCGATCTGTGGCATCTTTCCATAATGTTATAGCTTTAAAACATTCATTATGGTAAATTTGATTGCTTATTTTGTACAGTTCTATCATATTTCCCGTGATTCTCCTGGAAGCAAGCGTTGGTAGCTTAAGTTTCATCAACCTCTCGCTGTAGGCCATGTCTTTCATTCCCGGGAGGCACTTAGTTGCTTTTCTCAGGACTTCCTCTAAATTGGCAATATGTTTATGTAGGTGTGGTGCCCAAACCGGCTTATGAATATGTGGAGAGCAGTTTATAATATCTTTTGTCAAAGCAAATTTGATTAATATTTTGGTTTCTTCTACGATTGCGAACATAATAAGATATTAGTCATACTCGCTTAATATGTTTGTTGGTACTGAAAATAAACCGTTAAATATCCCGAGTACTCACACTGTTTTATCTTTTGTATATCTTATCTAACATTTTACTAAATGGTGCAATATATGTACCTGGTTTTCTCTAATTGGTTCAATTTATGAAAATGTATGTTCAATGTTTTCTTTGTGCACGTCTACAAAAGCGTTATTTTTCATCAATGAAACCAAACAAAAGTGTGTGTGTGTGTGTGTGTTTTTTTTTTTTTTTTTTTCTTGTCAAATGTGACTCCCATTTCCCTATTGTGTGATTTTGCATTTCTGTATCCCAAACCTTTAGTGTTTATTCGTTATAGCAGGACCAATTCTCAATATCACAATTTTCGGGCAAGATATTGGCAACTCACAATGAATGATTTTCTAGAGATGCAGAATGATGGAGATTATGGGAAAGTTCACGATTGGTCGTCAAATAAATATGCTAATGCTTTGTATTATATTCAAGCTTGACGTGTTTGATGCTTGCTAATTTGCCTGTTGGTTCAATTGTTGTTTACGTTGTTGTCATTTGAGACCGTGATATTACTTACTTTGATTGGCCAAGGTTTACATGGCGGGTAACGTCGATGAAGCGGAAGATGCTTATCCTTGCGGAACATCTTGTCTTATTCTCCTTGTTCTTTGTTAAGAGTCTCACCAAATGTTAACATGTCGATATTTTCCTTGTTCATGAAACATATGCCTTTATGGAAAGAGTCGGTTGTGAACACAAGATATAGCGACACTTCCAGGCTATGGGTTCATAAAAATGTGCGATTTTTCGCGCTGTCCATTCAGGATGTCTTTTTAGCAATACTCTATGTAAATGTGGTACATTGTTCAACCAATAATGGCCTAAAATGACTGTCGCTTACTGTTTTAATTAAAATCAAAATGTCAGTTTGCTTGTCAGCATAAGTTGGGTATTGTGTATCATACCATGTCGCGTATGTCATGCTTTAAAATGACCAACGTTGCAAAAGTCAGGAAACCCTTAAACAGGCCTTTTGAGTCATATGAAAGTTATGCTATAGTTAACAATATTAATTTCATTTTTGGTGAAAACTCCTTTTTTTCCTTTTTGAAACGGATATGCATCTAATGTGTAGATTTCAGCGGGGCTCTTTATTCTTGTTCTTGTATATATCATTGAAACAAAGGTGTACATCTGAAATGGAAATTATAAAAACTCGTCTGTTTAACGTTGATGTCAACATCGTCACGTTTCCGTCGCCTTACACAAAAAGGAATGATGAGTCACTTTAATAGTTATTAATGAAAATGAAACTGCATAATCAAATTTATATCAATTGAATTCACAACTTGTAAACAATTTGACAAAAAAATACAGACATGTATTACTCAGTCGTTTGTTTCTTTTGTTCCAAAGATGTTTTAAATAAACGAAAGTAGCGTTAATTTAGACAAATTTCACTATTAAGAGAAGATACTTAATCTTCCAAAAATCTGGTCTTGTACGGTCACCTTGGTCAACGTTGAAAACTTTCGCTTTTATCTCATTAATTTTAAGACTAAAATAGGACTTTTTTTTAGTGTGTAGGTGTTTCGGATATTGTGCAAGTTGGTCCTTTTTGCTAAAAAGAATGATCTTTCATATGACGAAAAATACGTTTTCATGATAATCTTACAACAGATTTAAAATATAATGATGCAAAAAAGATTAGACTGGTTTCTCAAATATCACTTCATCACAAACAAACAACCATTTATATATATTTTTTTATTTTGTATAAATAAAACGTTTTACACACATAGCAAAGAACTAAATTCACACAATTAAGGCACATTGCCAACAGTACATCAAAATAGAGGCACAGTTTTAGTAATCAACAATGACAGATTGCACGCTTGTCAATTTCATCTGAAATTACACAAATCTTTAACCTCGGCGCACCACTCTTTACATAAGAAAGAAATGAAGGCATTACGATCGAAATAAGAAATAATTGATACAAACAAGTCTTTCATTAAATAAATAATTGTAAAATTGAAAGAATGTAGTTAAATAATTATGAACCCATTAACAAATAACAGCGTAAAATAAATTCTAAAATAGAAAATGTTGGTAAAATAATCTACGTCAACTCGATGAACTTTCAAGTAACATAATCCAGACAGTGAAATAAATGAGGGACTCTACTCATAATGAAAGACACTGATGGATCTTTCGTGAGTCGTATTCTCAATATTTTTCGACAGAAAATTTAACAACTCAATTAAACAATTATGTAATTAATTGACAAACACAGTGGAAAGGAAATTTACCTGTAAACCAAAACAAAGTGGTACAACAATTTATGTAGATGCCCGTTCGCAGATAACAGTTAATGTAAAATTAAAATGTAACAAATAACTATTCTTTTTATAAATTAACAAGTTAAAGAATAAGAAACAGTAGAGATAAATGGCCAATGTAACCGAAATCAACCAAACATTTTGATCAAATGACAGGAAGCAACATTTGGGAATGAACCCAGATGACCCAAACAAGAAAGTACTGAATAATAATATTGTACGTATATTCACAATTACCACACGCTACATACCTGTAAGAGTACAACATGATTTCGTAACTGACTATATGTATCTTTTGTTTTATAAGATAACACAAAATGGCGGATAAAATTCTTCAAAAGTAGAAGAAAAAATTGAATTAAATTTGATAAGCTTTCAACGTAACTAGAATCGAACAAAATTAATATATAACAAAACCGCACAAACCAAACGTTAAGGAGTAACATAACTAGCATTAAGTCGTAATGCAAATTCAAACAAGTGCAAAGATGAATGATTTTAAAACCAACTATCATTCAGAAAATGTTTGTTAAGAATTCTTGGTCTAAGACACATATATGTATATCATTATCGAAAACGTTTTGATTTTATAAACAATAACAAGATTTTGTCAGCATGTAGAAAATATTTTGATTTTCTTGTGGAGAAAATCGATATCTGAAGACCAACAGTTCAGACATCTCAACACCTGTCATCTAAATGTATAATATCTCAACACCTGTCATCTACATGTAAAATGGCACAACACCTGTCATCTACATGTAAAATGTCTCAATACCTGTCATCTACATGTAAAGTGTCACAACACCTGTCATCTACATGTATAATGTCTCAGCACCTGTAATCTACATGTATAATATCTCAACACCTGTCATCTACATGTATAATATCTCAACACCTGTCATCTACAGGTATACTGTCTAAACACTTGTCATCTACCGGTATACTGTCTCAACACCTGTCATCTACATGTATAATATCAACACCTGTCATCTACATGTATAATATCTCAACACCTGTCATCTACAGGTATACTGTCTAAACACTTGTCATCTACAGGTATACTGTCTCAACACCTGTCATCTACATGTACCATATCTCAACACCTGTCATCTACAGGTATACTGTCTATACACCTGTGATCTACAGGTATACTGTCTAAACACCTGTCATCTACATGTAAAATGTCTCAACACTTGTCATCTACATGTATAATATCTCAACACCCGTCATCTACATGTAAAATGTCTCAACACTTGTCATCTACATGTAAAATGTCTCAACAGCTGTCATCTACATATAAAATGTCTCAACACCTGTCATCTACAAATATATCTTTAAACTACGAGACAAAAACGATACAAATTTAAATGTTCGCCAGTCGTTTGAGATATAATACTGTGTACACCACCACAGTTGAATGGTCAGTATGTTAACTGAAACAACAAACTCTGATGTGCGGTGTGTTTGACTAGATGATATACATAATTTGATTTCAGAAAGTAGAATATAAATAAATGTAGAATTTGAACGATGTACAAATACCAAAAATATATCGATCTGTAAGAATTGACAGCAACTAAAATATCGATTACGTTGACGAAAACAGATTACGTAAAACTATTCTTTACAATTCAGGGAGTGAATTGTTGTCAAATTTGGCGATTGAGTACATATATCTATAAACAATAAACAAGTTTGTATAATACAAATTCTATCGCAAGGAAAACTGTATACGTAGCATCCGAAAATAATGGAAAGTTTGCGGTTTGAGAAAGTTATTGTATGGCAAGGCATTTTCGCACCAAAAGACACTGACGGAATGATCAACAATCAACAGTAGCCCCAGCAAAGGAAGCCGTGTTGGAATTAAATGGTTGGATGGTTCAGGAATAGTCAATTTTTTATTTGTTACATCAGCAATAGTTATATGGTAAAGACACTGATATGTCAAAAATGTTTCAACGATAAATAATCACTTTTATTTATACTGACTTATGAGATGTATGAAGTACAACACCCCCCCCCTCCCACTCCCCTGAATTATAATTTCGGAAACATTCGCACTCCGTAAGAGAGACAATATAATTCCCATCGACCAGAAATCGTTTAGTTATAACAATAACCATTGACAATAATTCAAGAAACATTCCCTCCTCACAATGACCATACACCTTCCCTGTTAAACATATTTACCAAACAGAAGAATTAACTTCCACCATACAACATAACAAACCTCGATCTAGTATGTCTGGAAGTACTATAAGTTGTATCACCTAATTTTCCCATTCAGAAACGATTTCAATTTACTACAAGATCGAGAACTTGGCCACGTCTCAAAAAAGGATAAATTCAAAAATGAAGGTTTAATTTAGAAATTTTAGCAAACGTCATTACATGTTATCGTCCAAATAACACCGAGAAATAAGAAACTTGTTGTATGTATGATAAAGTTTCCAAAAACGATTTGGCGGTTTTATCTAGATATCACATGACAATCCAGATTTTAGATTTGAGATTAAGAATTACATAAATATCTGATAACGATACGACAATTTGAACTACATGGATCGACATCCGGTGATCTGCTACACCATCACCATTACACTGGCTCTTGAAAGGCACTTTGCCTACTCAGACCGGAAACAGGAAATGGCTATTTGTTTGTCGTGAATATAATATCCTATCCAACAGCCTTATCATGGTTATAGTCCAGATTTACCTTCTTTGCATTAAAAATGGATCCGAGTATCGATTTTTCTCATTAAAGGTATTTCTGATTTTCAGAAAAATAAAAGGCAATGCGCTAATGAAAATGAGTCCAGCCCCAATTTAAAAAAAAAATGCTTTATCAGCAGACATTCGTCAATAATAAAGTGTTCTGGTAAAAAAGAACACAACAAAGTAAAAAACATTCTTAATTAGAAATTTGTCATGTACGCCAGAAAACACGGGCACGTGCTAAGGGAGACAACTGGTGTAGAATTTCGGATACGTTTTACCATAAAGCTGTCGATTGAATCAACAAAAGACGGGATTACTGTTTAAATGTCCATTAAAGACCAACATTCTGGGGGATTAGTAGCAATATTTTCCATTTTAGACCATAATAAACACTTTACCGGATTTAATAATAATCATTTTCAGTTCAAGTTTATCTTAAAATTGATCTGCCTAAACGTCCCTACACAAACAGGTAAACTCAGGTTATCTATACCCGTCTCTCCACTCACCATCTGTCAATGTTGATTTTCACCATTCAAAATACATCAGGTGTTTAACCAAGAGTCTTCATATATAATACCAGGAAAATGAAAGTAACGCAGGCTACCTTATTGATTGAACTATTGTGACAAATGGTTACCTGTAAGTTGCAGACTTACAGACTATGAAATATTTAATAAATTTGGTCAATTAATTTATCACCAGGTAACTGAAATAAGTTTAGCCTTCACACATCTGAGAATACAATCAATTCTTATTGGTAAATAGAGACGACTGTTAACCAATGGAATGCTCTGTAGCTTGGCATAAAATCAAAATAATCTAAAGTGAACTTTGATTGGTTGATAAAAAAAATATAGTAATAAATGGTAATGAAGTATATTTCAAATTAATCGGGTGCCACTATAGCCAGGTGAAAACTATTAACCCTTGATCCGGAAGTAAAATTCTTAAACTAATGAATTTGTGTTGCTGCAGGATTAGTTTGCAGCACACACAAAAAAAAAACATGGGGTTGCTCCAAGATATCAAACTGTCTGTAAGTTCTGTAATTATTATTTTACAAAAGAGGAAGACATTTCAATATTAAAAACAACATGTATATGATAACCAAGGCACCAATATCTAAGATATATAAAAGGCAGATATAACTATAATAGCTTTTTAAGCCCAGCCCTACCTTTCTCATCAGTATGTTTGTAGTTCAATCCTGGAACTAAATCTGACAAAATAGTGTCTCATGGTAATGTAACTGAATGGATTAGATTGAAGATAAACAGCCCATCTTGTGAATAAAATACTTGTTAACCAATGAGATGCTCAGTACCTTGGTACCAAGAAAGTGTCAATACAAAGGATTCTGGTTTGTCCAACTAATGACCATTGAGATGCCCATCAACTTTGTACCAAATAACAAATGCAATATAATGTATTCTGATTGGTAAATATGTGTGACTGTTAACCAATGGGGTTCTCTGTAACTTAGCACAAAGTCACAATCGTCAATAACATGTTATGTGATTGATTTATAGAAATTTTAATAAACCATAAGCCAGATTAAAGAGGCCCAATGCTTTTAACAGTCATCTGACTATAAATACCTATGAAATACTCCAACAGAAGTTGCAGTGGTTGGGACAATTATTGTTAAAACAATTTTTAAATGTAACAATAAAACTGACTTTATTTCTCAGTATTCATACAAATTTTAAGGTAATGGCATCTATGGAAATGGAGAAGTTTCAAAATGGTGGCCATTTTGGATTTCAGACCATGACACAAAATAACACTTGGTCAGGAACATCTCAGGATTGTTCAAGAAAATGTGATACCATTGTTATGTTATAAAATGCCTTCTATGTCAAACTTTTGATGCAGCCAAAAATAACACTACTTCCAAGCAAGTTGGAGCCTATAATATTCAACCAACAGATCTTGAGAACAAGTTTGAAATGTTTATGGCATATGGCGGACGACGACAGATGAAACACAATGAGTATAAGTCATCATGACCTTTCAGGCCAGATGGCTTGATAAAATACTGAGCAACTTGGTATACAAATCATCTTCAATACCAGGATCTCTTATTGGTCAACAGAGAAGCTGTGAACCAATGAGAATGCATGTTAATTACTTGGCACAGTGCCAAATAACAGCCACCAACAAAATCAGAATCTGATTGCTATGTAACAATTAACTACATGCAGATCAATTTACATATTAAACATGTCTATGTTGATGAAGGATGTTGTCGTTTGATTTCATTGGTCTATTTTTCCACCAATGATACTCACATCAGATATGTACCAACGGATCAGTAGAAAGGATCACAACCCTGCCATTTGATGGCTGCACCATACCATCTGTGGATGAAAAAAAGTTGATGATTATTGAACAGAAACATGTGAAAGGAACAGTAACAGTTATGGTGCAATTCTAAAACTGTTTAAAGTTCAAAACAATTTCGCTTTTCAACTTTTCTAACATCTGCATATAAATGTTGTTTTTTGAAACTCTTTTTTGATGTATTCCATAGCCCTGTGTTCGTCAGTTAACAGGTACATAGTATTCATTGATTGGGTAACTCTTTATAGGTATATGAAAATAAAGTCGATAACAGATGTCTTCTTGTCTGTTTGCAGAGTATATGCCATGTAGACACCTAAGTAGTTACTGTTGGCAACCTCAATGAACAGCATAAGGGAGGTCAATCATATGCCATTCAGAGTAATCAGGGAAAAAGTAAGAAAACAAATTCAACAGCAAACCTCAACCAGTCAATTTCTCCGCTACCTGAGAAAAAAAAGTAGGGAGCCTCGATCAACACACTTCGGACATTCACCTGAGGTGGCCAACGCTCGACCAACAGAGCTGTTGTAGTCACCAGATGTTCATTAGTGTTCAAGAGCAATATGTTTATATTCAGCAGTTAATGTAACTAAAGGTTAAGTATTAATTAAGAAGTAAGTATCATTGCACATATTTTCACAGAATACAAGACAAATGTTAGAAATATTTTCTATAAGACAAATATTAGAAATATTTTCTACAAGACAAATATTAGAAAAATTTTCTATAAGACAAATGTTAGAAAAATTTCCTTTAAGAAATGTGTTCGAAAAATTTTCTATAAGACATATGTTGGAAAAATTTGCTATCAGAGAAATATGTTAGAAAAATTTTCTAACAGACATGTTAGAAAAATTTTCTATCAGACAAATATTAGAAAAATGTTCTATAAGATACATGTTAGAAAAATTTCCTTTAAGAAATATGTTAGAAAATTTTTCTATCAGACAAATGTTAGAAAAATGTTCTATAAGATAAATGTTAGAAAAATTTCCTTTAAGAAATATTTTAGAAAATTTTTCTATCAGACAAATGTTAGAAAAAATTTCTATAAGACATATGTTAGAAAATTTTGGTATCAAACAATTTAAGAGTTGACATACTTTGACATTATGATGTGCTCCAGGGACGGAATCTTGTCATCTTCCTTCCGTCGCATCAGATGTGTCTGTCCTTTAACACTGCGACCATGTCTTGTTTCTTTGAAAAGAAGTTGATACGTGTATATATGTGTTCACACGTGTATATATGTGTTCACACGTGTTCATGTGTGTTTATATGTGTTAATACACATATATCTGAAGTTTATCAAAATGAATATAGAATTCAAACATAAAACACATATACATGGGAACAAAATAGAATCCAAAGAAGAAACCAACAGACAGTAAGAAAAACCTGCAGAAAATGTCTATAAAGGACCAAAATCAAACCTTTAAAAGTTTATATATCACTATGCAGTTTAGCATGTTAACATGTTTTTAATATGTCCTATTCAGATTTAGAAAGATTTATTTTTACTAAAATCCATTTTTGTTTATTATGCTTCCTGAAACATTCTAGGGGAGCATATCTTTACTGCTTTGTCTGTCCATCCTTCCCTCCTTTCTTGTCCGCAGCATAACTTTGCTCACAGTTAAGAAAGAATCATAAACCTTTGTGTATATATTGGTCATACTCAATGTACTATACACCAATCCAAGGCCCACAACCCCTTAATTACAGAGTTATTGCCCTTTGTTAAAATTTCCCATCTGGAGCATAATCTTATATTGTTGCATTTAAACTATGGAAATGTAAATTAACATTGGTCAAATTTTGGTCATACTAAGACTTGTTCCCTGAACATAACTTTGCTTGCATTAACACAATGATAATAAAACTTGATTGCATACACTGATTATACCAAGATGATGTGCATTGTACAAGAGTCAGGGTCTGTAACCCCTTAATTACAGAATTATTGCCCTTTGTTAAAATTTTGTTTCCAACAGAATTGGCGTTTGGGCTTATTTATCCACTGTTTTGTTAATGACCTATATTGAGTTTATAGGGTTTGTGGGCTTATTCAAAATCAGTACTGGCCTATATTTAGTATAGAAGGTTTGTGGGTTTATTCAAAATCAGTACTGACCTATATCAAGTATACAGGGTTTGTGGGCTGCCAGTCCTGTGTAGTAGTATAGTGAGAAGCGATTCTCCACCCTCCAGTCAGAAACAAGGTCTATTTTATTGCTGAACAATAAACCAATCTGACCATTGGTACTAGTCAGCCATAATGGCAGTTTAGGAGTCTTCAGCATACTGCCAACCTATGGAAATATAGAATAGAGAAGACTGATTATAACTGTACGCCATACAGACATCCTCGGAGTGGTCTTCATGAATACAATGAAACGGTTGAAATAAATATATAAATCATAAAAGTACAATAACATAAAAATACCTGATCATCGTGCAAATAAAATTTAATGAAATCATTGAAGAAGCTAAAATTTTGGGGAGAATATTAATTGTTTTTCAATATCAGAAAATATATTTCTCTTATTGGCCTTATTAATAGGTGTGCAGTAAAAGGCTGTTAACACAGTATAAATACATGATAACAGTACAAGCGTGAATTTTCATGGGTGTTTTATTTATATTGATTTCATAGATATTTGTAATCTGCAAAGTCTAGGTCTGTAAAATGATAAACAGTTCAAACTGATATTAAAGTGCATTACTAAAACTAAACATGAAGTGCAAACAAAAAAAGTTATTCTAAAAACCATGAATTAGGAGTCGCACAAAAAACCTAACTTTACAGTAAAGCACTTTAAAAAATGACAAGAATTTTGTAGATAGTCTTAAAAGTATTATAAAACAGATTTCTACAATGTAAACAAAACCCTGAAACAGATTGCTATGATGTAAACAAACCCTGAAACAGATTGCTATGATGTAAACAAACTCTGAAACAGATTGCTACGATGTAAACAAACCCTGAAACAGATTGCTACGATGTAAACAAACCCTGAAACAGATTGCTACGATGTAAACAAACTCTGAAACAGATTGCTACGATGTAAACAAACTCACTTCAGTCCTAGCGTTCGTTTGTTCTGCCTTATCATAGTATAAGAAACCAATGGTACTTCTGACTTGTATACCTCTCCTTGGCTTGGCCTGGAAAAACATTAAAATATGTTATCATACAATGTGGGTATCCGTCTATTTTGAGATGTTATCAGTTATTCTACCATATAAAGTAACATGATATGTTTTTGTAGAATTTTTGACCAGTGTAACTTTCCTCAGCATTTACAATACCACCCCTCACTAAGCCAGAATTGTAGGAAATGGTATTGCAGCCTCTGTTCCTATAGCTTTATAAAGTACTCAGTGTTTTCCAAATGATAATACCACCAGGTTTTGTAACATTTAGACACCTAAATAAAAAACAGTGTCACCAACTTCTATCCATATATTTTCTGGTCATAGGCCTTCAAAATAGAGGATGCTGATAAAGAAAGGAAAAGACCTTATCATCAGTTATATTGTATAGTTATCACATCTGTATATACAATGTTTTATGTTATGTATCAATATAAATATGGCTGTATAAACTCAAATTTTTTTTTTTTTGAAATTTCCAAATGCAAATCAAAATTAACTAACATTAGTTAGCTAATTAGCGATGCTGAAAAAGAACCCTATCTTCCCATTAAAATTAAAATACATTTAGCATCAGCTTAAATTTGTTTAAAAGTGAACATTTTAAAAAATAAGTTGAGTTTATAGGACAAAGGGAGTTATTTCTCTTCAACAATACTTGAAAAGTTCAAATTATTAAGCACACTTTGCAAGTGGATTCAAAGCTTCAAAGCACCTCTAAACAAACACACTGCAGTATATCATATTGTACAGAAGATTAACATATATGTGTGTGATTATAAGCAGCTCTAAACAAGAATTTTTAATGACAAACAACAAATAACAGTACACAAAAAGTAAACAACTTATGAAATCAATTCTAACTTGTTAGATGTGAAGTTAACCAAAATGTGGCATTAACAGAAAAGTTTTTGTTTTCAAAAGTTCATTTTCTTTCAAGTCAAAGCGTATATAACACAGGTATAGAGAAAAGGTCTGATAAAAACTCATTATATAACACTAGATATATATTATAGATTCAGCATTGTAAGCATTGCAATATATTTTACTCCACAGATCAGCAATTCTAAAGGAATAATTACAAACATTGTTTAAGTGATCTGATATCTTACCTCTGAAGGGTTGAATTATCAAACAGTTTCAATATCATACATTGATTGTATAACATTTTACATATGCAAACTTGATGATTAAATCTGGACTTAGAAATTCTGAATAATTATGGCTGTAGGATTGCTTTCTGTGGCTCATAAAACTCCACTTTAAGGTTACACAGAATACAATGTCATAGGTAGAAGGTAGTCAGCAAGCTCCTCTACACGCAAGGTATATACTAACACTACTAGTTATATTGTATGTTAGTAAAAAGTACTCCAGACAGCAGAACTCCACAAACTGATAAAATTAGTTCGATCTATTAGACACTCCTTTTCAAAATGAAGATTTGAAACAAAAATAACAGGCTCCACTTTAAGGGAAAATGCTGAAGAAAATTATCTAGAATTTTTTCCTCCATTTCAGATGTTTGAATTTGCATGAAAATAATTTCTATGAATTTTTATTCTTTCTTAAATAAGTATGATAACTGACTCTTTGAAGCAGCCATTTTGGATTATAATCATGGTGCCCGTTATGTTTGTAGTCATAGTGGAACTTACATCTTCTTCATTCATTTCGTCTGGATTGGGGTTACGTTGGTCACGGGCATTAATAGGTTCATCATCCTGTTTCACATATTCATGCAGTGATTTAAAACCAGGTTGAAAGTCATATCCCTGTTATCAATTCCTCTTAAAGCTAATTTATAAAATTCAACTTTTCAAAAGACCAAACTCCTCAATGATGCATACCAAACTACATGTATCTATGTATCCAGCTGAATCATTGTAAGTGGACAAATGTAACCTCTGCAAGTCAGGGGTGGACCTATTAAGGATATTGTAATAGTACTTGTTGGTAATTCTACTGAACAGCAAGTAACGGTAGATTTATAATCAGGTATGATGTCATTGTCAGTTAAAAATGTGCTACCATACACGTTTTATTGACTGTGAATTTTGTAAAAGTTAGAAAATATCTTTATCAGCACTTTTGTATAAATTTTTAGAGATCAAAGTGATATTTCTAATGTAAATGTGTTTTTTCATCTTTAGAAATCTCATTTAAATGAAAATGTTTCATTCCCTGATAAGGTTTTTTTCTGGTAGAAAGAACTCTTTTGGAGTTGAAGATTCATATGCCACTGTAAGGTAGCATATAGCCTTAAATGGACTAAATGGTTAGATTTCTTTGTTTTTTTACTTTAGGAAAGCATTGTCATACATAAAATTAGACTATCCACAAAATTAAAGCACTTTTTTTCAGAATTATTGATAAAAATAATCAGCTTCAAACTGACACTGGTCAACACTTGCTGTTGTGTCTACCACCATTCCCTGTTTTGATCATAGATAGCTAAGTTCATCATGTGACCCTCTGCTTTGTTATGATTTCTAAATTTGTGCAAACACTCATTGATCGATAGTGGTATGAATAAGTGTTGTGTCACTCCTATTTTATCTTAATTTTTGATGTTTTTGATAAAATTGTCATGTAAAGTTTTAGATATTAAAATTAATAGAAAATGCACAATTTTCCAATGAATATTTAAATGTTACTATGAATTTTATCAGTTATGTAACGAAAATCTAATGATTTAGTGCCTTTAACCATTTAACAACATTGATATCTTTCTCAAATAAATTGGTGCAAAACTCATACCAAATCAGTCATTATATATAGGACAGTGTGCTTATACAGTGATACATGCATGGTAAACATCAGTGCCCCTCCGTACATGCAAAAATATAGGCAAAGGTATTTTATATTGCTTTTTTCGATCTGGTACTTAAAATTTCAAATTTTTATTTACTTTAATTGCAATTTTGTCTTGAAACAACAGGATTATAACATAAACAATTTCTCATGTACTGTATTGTTGTAAATTTACAGAAAAAAAAATAAAGATATTTTATTTTTCAAAATCTAAAATTCATATATGAATATACTTTTACATATTGATAGAATCTTTAAACTATTAAATTTCATGACATCCTTCCTCTCAAATGTAATAATCACACTGTGCTCTAACAAACAAGACATAACTTAAAGAAATAATGTTCTCAAAAAAGAAAAAGCAAAATTCTCAAAGATATTCAATGTTTTAACTTATACATTTTTCTATTTTTTTTTTCAAACAAAAATAAACAGGAAGTTTTGTGATGCGTACCAGTACTTTGACATCTTCGCCATATATGAGATTATTATTATGGAGATAAGGCGTAGCCATGCCAGTCATCAATAGGTTAAGAAGGGCCATAGTGCAGTCTTCATTGTCTGTTAGTAACTTCCTTTGTCGGTCATCTTCTTCCATCTGTAAATCCTCATAGATCCTGTAATATTATAAGAAAATGCTTTTATTTCTGTCTAGTTATACTTAACGACATCATCATTCTTTCTCCCCCAGGTATGTGGCCATAGTAAGGGAGATAACTCAAGTTGCTAAACCAGAGTTTTGAGTGCCCAACTTGCAGAGAAGAAAAACCTGGTTACATCTCTTCAAAATGAAGACGAAGAGGGTATTTAAGGGATTATCAAGAACAAAAAAGAATCTCAAGTTATAAAATTTGTATGCATTTATGTAACAATCTTGGTTACGTTTAAATATTATTTTAACTTAAAACTGATTTTGAATTTTGTGATTCTGAACATTGACAATTAAAATTAGGTGACTACAGCATTTTTTCTCAATTGGAGGTCAGGTTATAGCCAACATCTGGCTGACTGTTGAGGTCAGGTGAGTGGCCGGTACTACTACACAGGTGACCAGATAGATTGTCACATCTGAACAGATACATCCTTGGAGACTGTATTTTCCAGTGACTTCTCGAAATTACAAACTTGACAAAATGTTGCAAATAAATTCTGATTAATGACCTTAGTTTATCTAAATGCAGGACTTACTTTATCTGTGAATCTAAGTCTAAGACAGAATGATGTTGCTATAGGGTTAACTTGTACTTACAGCACTCACTTAGCTGTGGTCCTAGACAGGATGATGCTGTTATAGGGTTAACATGTAATTAAAGTACTCACTTAGCTGTGGTCCTAGACAGGATGATGTTGTTATAGGGTTAACATGTAATTAAAGTACTCACTTAGCTGTGGTCCTAGACAGGATGATGTTGTTATAGGGTTAACATGTAATTAAAGTACTCACTTAGCTGTGGTCCTAGACAGGATGATGCTGTTATAGGCTTAACATGTAATTAAAGTACTCACTTAGCTGTGGTCCTAGACAGAATGATGTTGCTATAGGGTTAACTTGTACTTACAGCACTCACTTAGCTGTGGTCCTAGACAGGATGATGTTGTTATAGAGTTAACTTGTAATTAAGTACTCACTTAGCTGTGGTCCTAGACAGGATGATGCTGTTATAGGGTTAACATGTAATTAAAGTACTCACTTAGCTGTGGTCCTAGACAGGATGATGCTGTTATAGGGTTAACATGTAATTAAAGTACTCACTTAGCTGTGGTCCTAGACAGGATGATGCTGTTATAGGGTTAACATGTAATTAAAGTACTCACTTAGCTGTGGTCCTAGACAGGATGATGCTGTTATAGGCTTAACATGTAATTAAAGTACTCACTTAGCTCTGGACCTAGACAGGATGATGTTGTTATAGGGTTAACTTGTAATTAAAGTACTCACTTAGCTCTGGACCTAGACAGGGTGATGTTGTTATAGGGTTAACTTGTAATTAAGTACTCACTTAGCCGTGGTCCTAGACAGGATGATGCTGTTATAGGGTTAACATGTAATTAAAGTACTCACTTAGCTGTGGTCCTAGACAGGATGATGCTGTTATAGGGTTAACATGTAATTAAAGTACTCACTTAGCTGTGGACCTAGACAGGATGATGCTGTTATAGGGTTAACATGTAATTAAAGTACTCACTTAGCCGTGGTCCTAGACAGGATGATGTTGTTATAGGGTTAACTTGTAATTAAGTACTCACTTAGCTGTGGACCTAGACAGGATGATGCTGTTATAGGGTTAACGTGTAATTACAGTTCTCACTTAGCTGTGGACCTTTGTTATAGGGTTAACTTGTAATTACAGTACTCACTTAGCTGTGGTCCTAGACAGGATGATGCTGTACAAGAACATGATACAGCCATTGTTTCCCTCTCTGCGAAACTAGAACACAGATACAGAATAACCATACATTAAATACACTACAGCAGTAAGTGATCTAAAGTATTTTATCCAGTCATAATCAATTTTCTCACAAATTGAAGATTTTACTCTCACATACAAATAATGTAGCTCTACATTATGAACAATATAATTCTTTGGACAATTTATTTGATTTTTTCTCATTTTTTAGATCATTTTAGCTACCGGCTCTAAATACTTATATCTGAGAATTTAATTGTGCAAATCATGATTAAGTGATTATAAGACTGCAGTGTACTTGAATTTTGAAGCAAAGACAATGTATAATTGAAAAATTGCACCAACTTCTTCAAATCATGTTCTCCGCAAGGTTTCTCACACATGCAACCTTAAAATATGTATCAGGAAAGATGATTTTTTATTGTATTCTACGTAAACTTTCACAGTAAATTTACCTCTGTCCAGTGTCTATTCATAAACATCTCCAGGTCCTTGTAGTTCTTGAATTCAAATAATAAAATCTGAAAATTTAAATAATGTAAATCAAATGTACTGTAATCATATAGTGTATAATCATTGCCTATAATTAGAGTGATAACATAAAACTAACACAAGAGGCCCCAAGGGCCTTAACAGTCACCTGAATCACAATGGTTCTCGTAACATGTCATAGAAATGAAGAAATAAACATTGTACACACAATGCATAACATTAACTGCTGTCCCATACAAAGTACAAAGGCTTTCAACCAAGTTTGAGTTAAAGAAATAAAATTCAAAAATTTGATTTTCCTATTTAAAATCTTCCATCCATAAACAGTAGAACATCTTTGAAATTTCAGTCAATTTGATCCATTCTTGGCCTGGCCCATCAGCCCCTTGGGGTCAACCAAGGTCAAGAGGGAAATGTGAGACCCTGGGGGGGGGGGGGGGGGGGGGGGGGGGGGGGGGATGAAATTTACAATCTTGATTAAGCCTCTGAAATCCATCCATCCATAATTTAAATCTATTTGATTCTACTATCCTGGGAATTTGAGAAGAAGATTTTTGAAGTTTTAAATCAATTTCACCCTTTTGGCCCATAATAATTAATGATTAAGGGATTTAATTACAGGTACCTAATTTCTGCTGGTAATACTGTTGAAACTGGAATGTTACTACCAGGAAAGGGCTTAAACCAAAATAAATACAGCAAACAAATTGTTGATAATTTAAATATAATTTAAAATTTACCTTCTCTGTGATTCCATCATCCCGACAGCGATAGTCATTAGGGAAGCATCGGTCAACCTGTTGTAGACAAATACAGCACCGCCGATTTTCACCAACTTTCCACAAAATTTGACACATCGCTGATATCAGAGCACGCTTCCTTTCAAACTCATTTGGCTGAAGGGCACTTTTAAAAAGTTTCAAAAAAGATAATCAAATTCACGTAAACAAAATTAAAGAGTATCATTTTAGTGACAATATTTAGGAGTGGAGGTGAGGAGATGGGGATGGATTGGATATTTCAACAGTAATATTTTAGTGGTAATATTAGTTTGGGCTTGAAAGTGGGAGGCAACCATACCTGCCAAATTTCCTGATTTTTACTCCTTGGCTGTTAACTGGTAGAGGTGTCAGAAATAACGGTAATGTAATGACCAGTTACAAAAAAAAAAAATTGTGAGGTATGAGGGTACCTTTTACCAAAACTGATTTAGTAGTGAAAGTATCATTAGGTTTTATATAAGTGAGAACAATTTTTTTTATAAAATGTCTTTTGACAGCAATATTTCTATCATATCAATGTCTGCGATGTGATGAAATTTAGAATGTAACAGTTTAGAAGTAATATTATTTTGGTAGTTCAAGTGTGAAACATGTATGAACAATTCAAGTTTTTTGTTTTTGTGGGTTTTTTTCTTTTTTTTTTTTTCTTACCAAATTGAAGTTGCTTAATTTATGTAGTTTTAAAAAAGATTTAGCACACACTTTTACCTGATTCCTAAGGATCAACTGAAGGATTTTCTAGGTTATTGAGCTATAACACTAAAAATGGAATATATGCAAAGAGTACACCCCTTTACCTGTGTTAATCCTTATAACTTTATCACAGACTGCAATATTTATCACATTTATAACAGATTGTTTTCTCTGATTTCTTACAACACTATTGGCCAACCAAACATGATATTACAAAATGATGCAAATTTTTATTTCATGGAATGAAAATAGAAACAAATTGACCAGTGCAAGTGCTTGTTTTAGAGAGAACTGAATTACTGTTGAAAGATCTTTAATGAAATTCTAAAACTGCAGAGAAACAGTTAAACTGTACCTGAAGACATGCAAATTTTCTACGAAAAAAACCCTAAAAAAACACTACCTCTTCACAGAATTTAATTCATAGATTTTTTGACATGTGGTAGACAGCAGTGATAATTAGATTGAATTTTAGTCTTTGTGATGAACATTGATAATCTGATAAAGAGTTATATTACTGATTACAGTATTTAAATGAAAAGCTTCTTCATACTCTCTGTAACTGTGTGTTATATCTCCTTTCATCATCAATACAAACACCAATCATGTATAATTATTCATTTTGGTATTGTAAATACATATATGTACTGGCATGTCAGGGAGGGTCCAGAGATGTGTTGGACTCCAAACCTAAGCCTAAATGGAAAAATATCACCGATAAAAAGTTACTACTTATATTTGCCAAATACAAAATATATTTCATATACTCTATAGACGTTTTACGACAACTTGACCTTGTAACCTTATCCTGCAGTCAAGTGACTTCTCATTTTATTGCAGTCAATTTTGATTAAAATTTTTGAAGATAATATCTAGCAGTAAAAATTTCGATAAGATAAGATAAAAATATATATAACATATAAAAATACCTGGCGTGATCTGAATCATCAAAAATTTAGAAAATTTATCTTTATTTTCATTCCGTTGCTAAAAAATGCATGTGATCTGAGGTCTAATGATAAATTATGGATAAAAAATCAGATTTACAATCCAGGTGATTTTGTTGCCTGAGGGAAACAAAGATTTAGGAAGGTATACTTTGATATGGTATATTTGGGTGAAATCAGACGGACAGACAGATGGATGGACGTCTGTCTTTAGGAGTAGTTGTGAGGAGATATGTTTTGTCCTTTGACTTGTGGGTTATGATGCACACTATTTCAAAGACTTTGAAAAATCATTAAATTTCCATTCATTCTGTTGCTAAACTAGCACTTGTACACTAAAGTCTAGTGATGGATGATATGTAAAAACATTTCATCGCCTATAGAAAAGATTTTGCAACGGAATGAAGTGCAATTGAAATACGCAACTAGTCCTAAAGGAGTGCTTCCTTTTTTTTTTCAATTTAGAACTCTTCGACAGCCACTATCACTCATGATAAACATGAGGTAACGTGAGGTTATCTGGAATATTCATTATGAAGTCAATCAATCAATAGTGAACCCAAAATACTGAATTATCTTTCTTCAAATCAAGTTTCACAAGCTAATCTTAATCTACTGGCTCAATAATTAAATTTTAATATTTCATGTGTTTGATATCACTTCTGTAGAGTTACAGGGCTACCTATATAGTCACTTGTGGACCTTATCATAGAAATATCATCATCAATTGTAGGTTCATGTTTCAAACCTTTACAGAGAAAATATTGCATCGACAATATTCCTTACCTACATCATCTATAACAGTGTCTCACATCTAGTTTGTCTCCCTAAGTTTGATCTTAAAAAAATATTGATAAACTTTTCACAATTTGTCTAATTTTATTCATCTCTGTTATCATAATGATTTATAATCACTTCATTTAGCTTTTAATTTCATTTGTAGTGAAAATCAGAAATAATTTCTTCCAAGATACCGAACAATAGTCCAGATGGTGATCAACATTTCAACAAAGAGCAGTGGTAGAATCAGTCCTATGAATGACATGGTGTTCAACAGCAATAACTGTTATTTGTAATCTTAAATCCCACACAAGTTCAGGAAACAAAATAATTCAATATCGTTGATACTTGTTTTAATATATCATTATTTTTGTAAATTATTATCAAATATTATAGGAATATGTAAAAAGATTTTATTTATTTATAGATTTTTTTGAATGTGTAAGAATTTTACAAATTCAAGCTGATCTATTGCTTTTTATTTTTATGAATTAATACTTTTATATTGAATTTCAATAAATTAAAACAAATAAACTTTAAAAAAATCGATATTCTCTCACTTTATCATTCCAGTTAGGATCTTTTCTCTTGCTCGATATATATAGATTTACAAATGAGGATACCTGAGGATGTGAAAAAGTCAGCCCTAAAAATAAATTTGGGGTAACTCACACAATACTTACCTCCGTATGAGAGCTAGTGAAGCAAACTGACGATCAAAAATGAGACTCTTTAACAGATAGGCCTGTATAGCTAATACAAGGCCACGCGAACCGCTCTGTAAGTGAAGTGTGCAAGCAGAATAGACAGTTATTTATACAGAATGGTAGGAGAGTTATACTCAAACTGATACCTTTTACAAAGATTTTAATTGTTAAGATTACAGAAACCAGAATGAAAAGCTTCAAATATAACTCCGAGTTATCTACTAACACAATATTACAAAACTGAAAATGTATTTTATCCTAAACACTGTTGTGTTGTTTGTAATTTATCAATTACAAAATAATGAAAAAAAGAGTCCCACCTATGAAGAAAAAAAACACAATTAAAACCTTAAGGTATCAATTTAAGTATTATAGAATCATAGTGGTTAAATCTATATTTCTAAAAAAGAAATTAAGCAAAATTCCAGAAAGTGAAGGATGCTGTTTTATCACCAATTATCTAGCTATAATGTTAATGAAATATGAATTAAGATATATAAAAGTTATTTTTTAAATTAGCAAAGAATTTTTTTATAATCATTATTGTACATTAAAGACATTGTTTCTGAGCAAATAAAATCCCACCTTTCCATCATTATTATCATTGTCCTCAGTAAACAACCTAGACCAGGAGGGGCTAGGTTTTAACTTAAGGATATATGCTACCACATACCAATCTTGATTTAAAAAGAATTCTTACTTAAGTAACCCAACAAAGTGTCTCTTTTAAACAGCTTATTTGGACTTTAATGATAATATACTGAAATATCAATTTGGAAAAAAAATATTCAAGAAAAGTGTGGAGGTAACATTCACCCTTAAGTGAAGATGGCTGACAATAGCTATTTTTAAGCATTTTTTTTCACCTGTTTAAACAGTTATAATTCCCAGACTATGATAGCTATTATCAAAATAGTTAGTTGAAAATTAATTGACATTCATGATAAACAAAATCATCACTTCTGTCTTTTCCTTTTGACTGATAAAGCATTTTGCATTTAAATGACATTTGTGGAGAAATATCTGGAATGGATAATGTACCCTGAGTGTCTGTAGTCCATAGGAAAATGGTCCAGAGATATCATAGAAATCTATAGTTGATTTCCTCCATTCTGTGGAAAAGAAATGGACCTGACTTGCCCATGATCCAAAGATCATGTGTTTGAGAGCCTGGAAAAAGAAAGAAAAGAGTAAATTTAAAAGTCTATTGTGATTTAAATCACAAACATACAGACTTGGGCCTTAAAAGGACACATGAGGATACATGACTGTTTCTTTTCTGTGACCTACTGATGCTATCCATATGTATATATATTATGTTAACAATGCAAGTATCAACCGCAACAAGCTCAGGATAAGTTGGTAGTAGGTATAGGTATATATGATGATGATGCTCTTAGGAAACATTTTCCCTGACTACCAGATGTAGGCCCTTTCCAGTTATAAAGAAAACTATTTGTGCCCTCACTTTCAGATGTAAGCCTTTTCCATAGTAAAGAAAACTATCTGTGCCCTGGCTACCAGATGTAGCCCTTTCCTATTATAAAGAAAATGATCTATGCCCTTACTTTCAGATGTAGGCCTCCTCTATTATAAAGAAAACTATTTGTGCCCTGGCTACCAGATGCAAGACTTTTCCATTATAAAGAAAACTATTTGTGCCCTGGCTACCAGATTTATGCCTTTTCTATTATAAAGAAAACTATTTGTGCCCTGACTGCCAGATGTAGGCCTGTTCCATAATAAAGAAAACTTTTTGTGCCCTCACTATCAAATGTAGGCTTTATCCATTATAAAAGAAAACATTTTTTGTCCTGACATTGAACTGGTCCTTGTCTAAGTCACAAGACCTCTTCATTTAAATTAGGGATTAAGGGTGTCCTGATCATTTAGGCTCCATCATACATTATGATATTCCAGAACAATGAAGCCAGCATTTGTGTTAAAGGTCAAGGTCAATGAATCCCCAATACTCTGTACTATATATCTGTCAGTCCTTTACCTAGATTTCTAGTTTTCAATAATTAACTCATGTTAACAAAACAGTAATTAGTAACAACAGGTGTGGTGGAAGCCCAACATCCCTGCAGGGTATTCAGTTCCATATACATAGTTGTGGTGGGGATCCAAGGGTGGATACTCAAGTATTCAGTGCAGGGCTCATCAGGGAAGAATAAATATAAGTTACATTATGATGTTTGCAACTAAGGTACAATAACAATTAAGGTCATGTACTTTAATTGCAAACAACATCATAATGTAACTGGTGTGCTCTGAAGACGGCCTCCTTTGGGCCGTAACATGTCAGCATGTAGGATGTAATTTAAACAATACGCTATGCAGTGGATCCATGTGTGTTGTGCCTCATCCTTTCTACTTTAAAACAGTAATTAGTGTTTTCAGTTATCTAATTATACTTGTATTTTCATATTCTGTCACTAAACAGCAGTACATACATCGTGCATTATATATATATTGATTTACAGTTTTACACCATTTAGTAATGACGCAATCTTACTGTCAATTAGTCAACTCTAATATAACAGCAGTTATTTGTTTAATTGCAGAGTTTATCACCCCGTAAACAGCCAGGGTCGTTTTGAGGCCGAGTCTCCTTGCTGCTACCTCCCTGAACAACATACAGGAGGTCCCTCACATGCCATCCAAAGCAAATGGACAAGTGTCCTGCTGAAGGATACAACCACATCTGCAGAGACCAGTCAGTTTCTCAGCTTTCTGAGAAACACAAACTGACAAGGAGAGGGAGTATTGAACCACGCACCTTAGATCTTCACCTAACGCTTCATAGCCCATCTTCTTAAGGGCTATCAAAAGCATAGAGAGTAAAAGAAGATTGATTTTGTCCTTAAATCAATGAAGGATATGTGATGCATGATGAACACATCTGATAGCAACTTTGAAATTGGAATACTTTAAAAGTCTTTTGAACCCCTAATTACAGGTATGATGGTTCCAGTCCAGTTGTCTACATGAAAATCCTGGTAAAAGTTTAAAATTTCTGTTTGATTTTAAGCCTGCTGTGTGATATCAGCAACGCAAATGAGAGCTTTGCACTTTAAAATCAATATCCATTAAAATCTAACAATAAAAGATGATGAATAATAAAACAATCCACATTTTTATTGATCATAACCGTACCAAATCACAAAATCATATGATTAATTCATTTTACCTTTTCAGTCAGGTACCAGTATTACAATAATACAACTGATTGATTACAACTACATTATATGACTAAAATCTACATCATTTATGACAAGTGAAACTGTTGGATCATATTTTATCTAAAAACAGGAAGTGCCATACTACGGATATGTGTTTTTAATTGACACATCACGATTTAAATCTCCGTTCGGATGTCAGAATATCACATACTAGGAGGCTGATCTGCGCTGCCAGGACACATATTTGACACACTGTGCCCAGTGACTCCATTTAGACGTCAGAATATAATGGCAAAACCAGCAGGCTGATCTGTGCCTTCCAGTACACATATTTGACACACTGTGCCCAGTGACTCCATTTAGACGTCAGAATATAATGACAAAACCAGCAGGCTGATCTGTGCTGCCAGGACACATATTGACACACTGTGCCCAGTGACTCTATTTAGATGTCAGAATATAATGACAAAACCAGCAGGCTGATCTGTGCCTTCCAGGACATATATTGACACACTGTGCCCAGTGACTCTATTTAGACGTCAGAATATAATGACAAAACCAGCAGGCTGATCTGCACTACCAGGACACATATTGACACACTGTGCCCAGTGACTCTATTCAGATGTCAGAATATAATGACAAAACCAGCAGGCTGATCTGTGCCTTCCAGGACACATATTTGACACACTACGCCTTATGACTCCATTTAGACGTCAGAATATAATGACAAAACCAGCAGGCTGATCTGTGCCTTCCAGGACATATACTGACACACTGTGCCCAGTGACTCTATTTAGATGTCAGAATATAATGACAAAACCAGCAGGCTGATCTGTGCCTTCCAGGACATATATTGACACACTGTGCCCAGTGACTCTATTTAGACGTCAGAATATAATGACAAAACCAGCAGGCTGATCTGCACTACCAGGACACATATTGACACACTGTGCCCAGTGACTCTATTCAGATGTCAGAATATAATGACAAAACCAGCAGGCTGATCTGTGCCTTCCAGGACACATATTTGACACACTACGCCTTATGACTCCATTTAGACGTCAGAATATAATGACAAAACCAGCAGGCTGATCTGTGCCTTCCAGGACATATATTGACACACTGTGCCCAGTGACTCCATTTAGACGTCAGAATATAATGACAAAACCAGCAGGCTGATCTGTGCCTTCCAGGACACACATTGACACACCGTGCCCGGTGACTCCATTTAGACGTCGGAATATAATGACAAAACCAGCAGGCTGATCTGTGCCTTCCAGGACACATATTGACACACCGTGCCCGGTGACTCCATTTAGACGTCAGAATATAATGACAAAACCAGCAGGCTGATCTGTGCCTTCCAGGACACATATTTGACACACTACGCCTTATGACTCCATTTAGACGTCAGAATATAATGACAAAACCAGCAGGCTGATCTGTGCCTTCCAGGACATATATTGACACACTGTGACCCGTGACTCCATTTAGACGTCAGAATATAATGACAAAACCAGCAGGCTGATCTGTGCCTTCCAGGACACATATTGACACACCGTGCCCGGTGACTCCATTTAGATGTCAGAATATAATGACAAAACCAGCAGGCTGATCTGTGCCTTCCAGGACACATATTGACACACCGTGCCCGGTGACTCCATTTAGACGTCAGAATATAATGACAAAACCAGCAGGCTGATCTGTGCCTTCCAGGACACATATTGACACACCGTGCCCGGTGACTCCATTTAGACGTCAGAATATAATGACAAAACCAGCAGGCTGATCTGTGCCTTCCAGGACACATATTGACACACTGTGCCCTGTGACTCCATTTAGACATCGGAATATAACAACAAAACCAGAAGGCCAATCCATGCCTCCCAAAACATGTATTTGACACACTATGCCTTATGATTCCGTTTAGACGTCAGCATATCACAACAATACCAGGAGACCAATATGTGTCCTCCAGGACAGCAGAACACCTACATAATGATAACAAAACTGACCACAACTAGTGTTATGGTTTAAGGTGAAAATTGTCATTAATTAGACTTACCACAGCAGTTTCCACCGTAATGGGTGTTCCACCAATCAAATGACGACTTCCAGACATTGGACGGATCGTGTTCCCTAATAATGTAAAGGGATAAAGTTAGGGATTAATACCATATAAAGGCTTATTGTCTGATAAATATGGTATGTATTTATGGTCACTAAATAAGCTATGGATGGGATTAATACCAAATAAAGGCTTATTGTCGGACAAATATGGTATATTTTTATGGTAACTAAGGAAGCTGTGGGTGGGATTATTACTCGTCACAGGCTTGTTGTCCAATAAACATGGTATGTATTTATGGTTACTAAGGAAGTTATTCAGGAATTGCTGTAAATAATTGTTTTATTATATACATAAACATGAATTTTGACAAACTTCCTATAGTTTACACTGTTATCAATATCACACACTAGCACTCTACATTTTGTTCTGTTTTAGAAATAAACAACAACAATTGTTTACATCTAGCTGCATTTTAATAGAATTTTAATTTCTGTATATCTGACAATCTTCAATTTTTTTAATTTTGAGTTTTAAATTTCCGATTGTCCAAAAAATCATTTAAGACAGTGAGGTAACTTAAGGACAATGAAACTGGTTAGGTAAGCTGCCCTAGATACATTAATCTCTTTAGATACTGCTTAGTGACAAAACTACTAGGGGCAGTAAATTTTTTTTTGCTTTATCAACGACTGACAAAATTCACTTTAATCTTGTAAGTAGCCACTATCGGGGATCTTTATTGTTGACAAATACCTGGTCGATATATTCATGAGTACTCATAACTATAAAGTTTACTACTTTAAACACTGTTTGAAGTGATTTATGAAAAGTCAATAAATCTCTCACAGAATAAGAACATCACAACCGATGATCCTTAAAGTGAGATAAGACAGTAGGAGGAGGAAATGAGTACTGGAATTTTCGGCAGCAGGTACCGGGTACTCAAGTTTGTGTACTCATTATAAAACTTGAACTTCTCTCAATACTCAAGTGAAAATAAAATTATATCTAAAATTTCCATTATGTACTAGAGTGGCACTTTATAAGAGAAAGTTAGAAACTTCATTGATTCAAAGGTTTTTGTTTGCTGACTTTTTAAGGTACATACAAATTTTACTTTTACTTGTCACCCAAAGTTTGACTTACTGAAATAACTGTATCAAGTGTCTACAGTAATAAACATTTTGGTCATAAAAATCTTACTGAAAGAGCCCAAAACTTATTGATATATTAGAAAATATTGTGCACAGGTGAAATGGATAAAATCTAAATTTAATTTGAACATTTCTGAAGAAATTCTTCCCATTTCTTCAAATCCACCAAAGCCTATGATTAAAAAACAATTTCTAAATGCTGGATGTGAATAAAAACAGAAAAATACTAAAAAAAAACTTCATTTTCTGTGTGATTGCCTGTTGTAGATTTCATAATCCTATCAATTAATCACTGATAGTTCTAATATAGGTTATCAACACTGATTTTAATGGTTTTGATCTTACATGCAGTTTATTTTGAATCATACATACACACTAAAAAAAAATAACAAGAAAATACCAACATGTTAACATAATCATAATCCAAACTCAAATTCAATACAACTAGGACAAAATATGAACAAAAGATAGATTTACACAGAGACTCCTGAAAAAGTAAAAGGAGAATAAGACCAGGTGTTCCAGAAGAGTAACCATCTTCTACTTCATTGCCGACACTCACCCTGCATATTCAGTACATAACAAGTACTCTGTTTTGATTTAAAAAATTTAATGCATTTTGTCAATTGACTGTTTCTTTCAGTGTCAGTGTTAATTAATTCCTTAATGTTTATTAAGATATAATGTTTGTTTAACAATGTACCCTTACTTTTTCAATATCTAAAAGTCAGAAAGCACCTGTAAAAAAAATAATAAAATGAGACTCGGATAGCAAGGTTACATATGTTGGAGCTGTAATATTATACTTACCTAACTTAACTGTGACTTCTGGCCAGCTGTCAACATAAAATGTTTTCACTCGCTGGGTTAGTGGATTTGGTGCAGTCTTCTTGGCATCTCGAAATTTTACTTTTTTCTGTAGACGAAAGTGAAGTAAAAGGTTTCAATTGTTAGTCAGTTTGTATAAAATGTACTACACAGTCTTTCAGCTGGATATTAATAATGTGACTATATAATAACAGCTTACATAGGGTTCATTAAATAACTTAAGTTTCCTGTGAACACAACATAAATGCACAATGGAAAGTGATATGCAAATATTAACCATTAAGAGTACTCATTCCTTCTTTTTTTAAATTTTTTTTTTTGGAATTCAAGTCAATATGTAATGATAGAAAATTCAAATAGTTAGCTATCAAATTTCTGCAATCGTTTATATATATTTCTAGGCAATTTAGCACAATTCATAATTGTTTGGTTCTTTATTTGTTGATGGCTACCTCACTGAACAACATAGGGGAGGCCCCTCTCTTGCCATTCTATACTGCTTAAAGATATAATTACATATAGTGTCCTGAACAATTTCACAAATTTCTGTGATAAGAAAAGGTGATGCTGAAACATTTCTGAAATCTACCCATTCATAATCTTTGTTATCGTAGCAACAATTAGTTGGTTTTATCTCTAACCAATTACATTTTTATTACTTCAAATTTTTGGTGATTATCACCCCATCACTTCATTGGGTCTTAATAAATATTTACTACAACAACGTTTAACAAAACATTATTTTATTTCTATATCATTGAAATATAATTTCTCACTAAAATTTCATGAAATATCACCACTTAAAAATACTTTATCAAGATGTCATTCAAATTATAAAACACATCCAATTTTTTTTTAAAATAAAACAATTCTGAAAAATTGAAGAAGCAGTGATGTATGATTAAACGAAGAAGTGTAACTCAAAATGCTCAAGTGATTTATTGTTGCTTTCAATACGAAGACAAAAACAAAACACAAACAACCCAAGTGACATGATTAAAAAGTGTAGGTCAGCATGGTCCAACAGATAAATTGTCACATTTAACTTTACCTGAAAGTTTTATGTGCAATCACCTTTTACTTGTAACATATATACAGAGGATGAAATTAACAATCAAAAACAGAAAAAAATAACATTTTGTAATTTGGAGTCCGTCGTTCTTTAAAAGCAATTGGTCAGAAAAGCTGTTATCCCACAGTGAATGAGCTCTTATCTGTCAGTGAATATGTCAATGAAAGGTGAACATGACAAGTTGTTCTTAGTCAGAATAAGTTAATTATTAACAAGTCAAATAAAAAAAAATAACAAGATTTAAATATAAAATATATCATCATCTGAAGGGGTCTATATCCCCAGCTTTTTTATACAAGATGCAATGTCCTGTATACATATTGTAGAAAGTGTATATTTTTTACTATACTTTTTCTTTCTGGTGTCAGCTCGTGCACAACAATGTCAATCAGTAGTGAAAACAGTGAATTAACAACAATAACATCCGTGGGAAGATAAGGGTCACACAGAGGTCGAGAAGGATGCGAAAATAAAGGCCAACAGTAACCCAAATCAGGGAAGGGATGTGTGTATATCATCAACACATTGGGGTAAAATACTTACTACAGGTAAATCTTCCACCTATTTGTGTACAAATTGTAAAGTACTGTCATTCCAAGATGTCCAAAAAATTAGGATTAAACAAAAGAAACTGTATTCATTTTACAGTCCAAAGAACTATACAATTTTACTATCTTAAAGTGTAAACATTCTTTTTGACTAATCCAATATCATAAAAAGTGTATAGATTATATCATATATGTATTTCCTTACAAAAACGTATAAAAATCATACTTATCTATCATTCTTAGGTATGAAAATGATATAACTCTATTTTGAAAAGTGTTATAATGTAAGTTTTCTTACAGAAATGTGTAAAATCTTTAAAAAAAATCAGAATACTTTGTATATGAAAATCAATATTTCGCCATGAAATATGTGAAATGTATTTTATCATTAAAGCATATTTAAATTTTTACTGCCAAAAGTGACCATATCATTGCTCTTCTTAATAATCATCTTCACGGTTTTAGAATTAAAATTGTAGTTTTACAGTCAAATGATATACAAATAGTTTACAGCTTTTATCGACTATAAAAGTTCTTCCGTTTTATGATCAAAAGAGATACATCACACACATTTGTAATTAGAAAACCATCAAAGTAATCAACTGATTCAAAGAAGAAATGTTAAAATTTACCTGAGGTAACCAGGAGACAATACTCAAAGTCAAATGGTTTCATACATCAAAAAATCAAACCCCACATTCGGAAAGATCCAACACGTCACCTACACAATGTCTGACTGAATACACAGCTTGATGTACATGCATGGAATCATTTATTCATTTCCCATCAAATTATCATAGATGCATTCATATCCATGTGCACTTCTATCTCCCTGGGAGTCAAAATAAATTCTATATATGATGGAGCATGTGACATTTTTATCACATAAGTTTGGAAAGCTGTTGTCATCATCACAGTGTTGTCAATATATGTAAATATGGTCATAGATTTTTAATCAATGTTTTCCACAATTTCCATGAAAATTTAATTAGGTCGTCATAGTAACAATTCCTCTCAATGAAGTACCCAGTGACTGGCTGATAAGGACACAATATCCTGTCACAGACGACTGAATGCTCCAAACTGTTGTTAATTCTTTTGGCCCCCTAGAGGAAACAGTCGAACAAAGCGAGGCATCAGTCATTTAATTCTGATGTAGATGTTCCCCAGTATAGTACAAGTACATTAATAGTAATTACAGACAAACTTTGACAGTTATTTCCAATATGTTGCATGTGTAGAATCTATCAGAAAAATGAAACGTTAAAACTGCATCATTTCACTTTTGTGATAAAATTTGGATGTCAGCACCGAGCTGAACTTTGTCACTACCTTATATATTATAAACGGTTTCAATGGTATGTAGAATATCTCATTTGTATCTAATTAAATATTACAGAGCCTCAGTGATCACTTTGGTGCATGTTCCTGATCAGTCAAAGAAACCATATGCTTAATCAACCAGAATATTATCGAAAAAGGAAACACAAACATGATGAAGTCATTACAGAAATGAGAAACTATCATCACAGTAATGTACAATAACATGACACACTTAAAACTCTTCAAATTATTGCTTCATACAAATGATGATCTTTAAAAAATGTATTTTGTAGTACAGCAACATACATTGTTTCCATGGTTACAGACAAACAATGAAAATTAAATGTGATAAATAAGATTTAGGGAGAAAGATTGAAAAACAAAGTGAGAAGGGGCTCACATAGATATACCCCCTGTTCTCAAGGTTTTTCTTGTACACAAACTTTTTAAGTGACCTTTGACACCAAAACAATTTTTTCATGTGTAGATCTTGGTGGTGTGATGCTATGGTGCGAATCGATCTGAACCAAAACTGTTCAAGGGTTCATGGAATATTTTGTACAAAACGTTATCACACACTCTCACACACGTAACACAAAACTTACTACTATTTACACCCCTTACCTAAGTGTGGAATATAATTATGTTTATGCATTAGTTACTCAGTGTTAGTGAACATTTTTACCCTTGAAATAATGTTAAAGCTATGTTGAAGGATGAAAGAAAGTAAGCAAGTGAACAAGCTTTTACATATTATAATGTACTGACACTTCCTGCCATTGCCCAAATCCAGACTCGTGTTATCTAAAATAAATAATACCGCTACTTTGATAACTCGGCTTGAGGTACTTGTGATTCATGTTTTGCTCAGTCTAACAAGCACCTCTTCCCTGAAATGCTACGAACACTTTGATAACATCTATGTTGTTTGCTCAGTAAGGATAAAACATATATAATTCAAGCTGACTATATGTTTTCTATTTCTAGCATGTTATCTATTGTTGATCTGTGATGGGCAATCAATTATTCAATAGAAAATTCTTAAAGATGTGACGTACACAAAATGCCAACCCACATAATATATGTTACTTTACTTTGTAAAGAGCCAAGATGAAAAGAGATGACAGCATACAAATCATCTTTAATGGATTCTGACGCAGTTTTTTACTTAGGCCATGTAAATAAATTCTGACAAATTTTGCAAACAAGTTCAAAAGATTTCCATGAGAAGCCTCGTCTATCATTGTGTCAAACACTGCATGTATCTCTATACACATACTTTAACAAATATACCAGTAATGTATGCAAGGAATACACCTCTGTAGTTAAACGTTTGCAAATTTTGCTCTTTGTCTTGCTTATAGAGCTAAGAAAAGGTTTGATATAAACACTAAAATGCAACATGTTTATATGTCTTATGAAGAAAAAAAAAACCTGGAGGAAAACTATGTAATTATATGTAAGGTTAGAAAAATTAATGTACACAGGTTTATTCAAATATAAAGAATATATTGAAGATGAGAGACCAACATGGGTCAAAGAAGAAAATATGAAGAGTTAAGAGAATAATAGTTCAAGGAATATATAGAATGGACCTGTGATTAAGAGACTCACAACAACAGTCAATGTATAGATAATGGAGCTGTGATTAAGAGACTCACAACAAGAGTCAATGTATAGATAATGGAGCTGTGATTAAGAGACTCACAACAAGAGTCAAGGTATAAAGAATGGACCTGTGATTAAGAGACTCACAATAGTCAAGGTATTGATAATGGAGCTGTAATTAAGAGACTCACAAGAGTCAAGGTATAATGAATGGTCCTGTAATTAAGAGACTCAGAAGAGTCAAGGTACAGAGAATGGACCTGGAAGTAAGAGACTCACAAGAGTCAGTGTCTAGATAATTGTCCTGTTATTAAGAGACTCACAAGAGTCAAGGTATAGATAATGGTCCTGTAATTAAGAGACTCACAAGAGTCAAGGTATAGATAATGGTCCTGTAATTAAGAGACTCACAAGAGTCAAGGTATTGATAATGGAGCTGTAATTAAGAGATTCACAACAAGAGTCAAGGTATAGAGAATGGACCTGTGATTAAGAGACTCACAAGAGTCAAGGTATAACGAATGGTCCTGTAATTAAGAGACTCACAAGAGTCAAGGTACAGAGAATGGACCTGAAAGTAAGAGACTCACAAGAGTCAGTGTCTAGATAATTGTCCTGTTATTAAGAGACTCACAAGAGTCAAGGTATAGATAATGGTCCTGTAATTAAGAGACTCACAAGAGTCAAGGTATAGATAATGGTCCTGTAATTAAGAGACTCACAAGAGTCAAAGTATTGATAATGGAGCTGTAATTAAGAGACTCACAAGAGTCAAGGTATAGAGAATGGACATGTAATTAAGAGACTCACAAGAGTCAAGGTATAGAGAATGGAGCTGACATTAAGAGACTCACAAGAGTCAAGGTATTGATAAGAGACTCACAAGAGTCAAGGTACAGAGAACGGAGATGACATTAAGAAACTCTCAAGAGTCAAAGTATAGATAATGGACCTGTAATTAAGAGACTTACAAGAGTCAATGTGTAGATAATGGACCTGTAATTAAGAGACTCACAAGAGTCAAGGTATTGATAATGGAGCTGTAATTAAGAGACTTACAAGAGTCAATGTGTAGATAATGGACCTGTAATTAAGAGACTCACAAGAGCCATGGTATAGAGAATGGACCTGTAATTAAGCAACAAACAAGAGTCAAGGTCAAGGAATTATGATTGATAAAAAGTTATGTTTTTTTATTGATGGAAAAAATTGCCAATAAATGTAGGTGTTGGAATATCTGTGAGACTTAGGAAGCAGGCCAGGGATAGAGAATGTACATGATATTGGGGATGGACCTTTTGCATTTCCCAAAATCATTGCCTCGATCATCCAGAAACAGATTTATACTGTATATTGAGGAAATAAACTTTGGACTACAAGGAGCATTGCCCAGTAAGACATACAAATATAAAGTTGAGATCATAAACTTATTGTGTAGGTTGTAACTAAGCAATGACTATAAATCTGAATGTAATATAACATATGACTTGATTCATGTATTTCATTTTAATGACTAAAAGTCATCTTTACAGAAATATGCTCACCTTGTTGTCTTCCAGGCCAAATCCACTGTCCAATATCTTGAGTAATTTGTTTAGTCTTTCACGTTCATATCCAGCCGGAGTGAGACCAAGATCACTCTTTTCCGTGGAATTACTAGCACCATTCATTTTTATGTCAGTGTCTGCTTGTGCCATTTTGCAGTCGTAAAGTCTGGGCACTCAGTTGACAATATTTTGGCACATAGGAATAGTTAGTAGAAATGTTTCACAGCTGCTGCATCTGTTCAAATATAATTGATATACAAAATATGATTCAGTTCATCGCAGAGAAGGGTGGGGCAGTCCAAAATGTCTTTTAGCTTATTCCAAATTCTCAAGGCAGGGGCTATATAGAGCCAGTTTGATTGCATTGATATCAACATGTTTTCATTTTATTCAAAAATCTTATTTTACAAAAAAAACGCCATGCCGATGAAATTTCTGTTTTTCAGAAATGATATTGTATAATTAGGTCTCACTCACAGTAGCTTGATATGATAACAAACGTGATCGTAAAATTGATTTTTTAAAGTTATACTTGCCCCTACAAATACTAAACAGCAGTTATATATTTTCAACTAGAACATCGTCTGCCCAGAGACGTATATACGTCTCTGGTCTGCCGAAACAACCTTTTTAATTATGCATCAAAATATAGACTATTGTATCCAATTGCTAATTTCAGTTTTTAGCATTGTCCTGAAATCACAACATTTAAATATGTTGTACTCGGGTGGTGTCTATAGACTATAATACCGTAGGCTGATAATCCGTTCTAATATCTGACCGCTTACTATTGGCAAAGGTTCTAAAGTCAGCTGTGCCGATACTGATTGGATTGCCTAAACTTAGAAATCGTGATCTGACAATTCTAGAACAGAATTTATCACAGTTATATCTAAATGCTGAAATTAAAGTCACAATAGAACAATAAAGATAAACGAAACTATATCATAAATACTCGGAATACAATTAATCCATCGATCAGATTAATTAACACTTTGATTGAAAAGACTACAAAAATCGAACCGACCATATCAATGGAGGTCTCGATCTAAGTTCATGAAGGTGTTAAAATTTTGTAACATCTATGACGAGTTTGTTATAGGTCGTACCTCTTTAGGTGGGACATCCGTAACTTACCTTATAATGACTGATATCCCTATGGTTTAAATTTGGCATGGTTGGAGCGTGTCATACCCCCTTCAATAAACATCGAGGAGGTTGAGCTCAGAGCAAGCACCTGTCATAAATCCACCCATAATGCCGTGTAATTGGCCGGTAACCAGAGACGCCAAATGAAGGGAAATAACTCTCATAGTAATTCGATTCTAGAGCAGAAGAAAAAAGGCTTGCTCTGAAAATTGGGTTAATTTGAATAACTTGAATTTGAGAGTAACATTTACAGATGCACATTTTGAAAGACAGTAAAACAAACACACAATTATTGATATTCACAGAAATCAATATAATATTCACTAATGATCGATATCCACAGAAATCAGCTTTACTAGTTTTCAGCAACACAGATGGTGCTTTCCGGAATTACCAAGCGGTTTACATATCAGCGCTTCATTATATGCACTGTTAGTAAGTGGGTTCGAGCCTTATAAATATTTTCAATTCACTTTTATCTAAGACATACATTTTAAAATTTGGTTGGCTATTTATTATAAATGGGTCGAGTTTCTGTAGGTAGGCTTGAAAGTATAAAAATATGTTTGTTTCTGATGTACTTTATCGTTCAGGCCTTTTCAAAGTTGGAGCTGACCTTTATGATATAACCAGGTATATTTTAAGAAATATGCCTAACAATCACAGAAGAATATCAACTTTCATTTTTTGTGAGGGTAATGTTTAAAAACAAAAGCATCTATTCAGCATACGTGGTTATATAGCTTCCGATAAACAAGCATCTTTCATATGCTGTAAATAGTGAGTATTTGAATACTAACCTGTGCTTGTACATTGCAGTAAATATGCTGAAAATATTGAGTATTTGAATACTAACCTGTGCTTGTACATTACAGTAAATATGCTATATATAGTCAGTATTTGAATACTAACCTGTGCTTGTACATTGCAGTAAATATGCTGTAAATAGTGAGTATTTGAATACAAACCTGTGCTTGTACATTGCAGTTGGATATAACTTTCTATACTAACTGAAACCACTGAAAAGTACCATACTGTAAACTGGGGTCCAGTACATGAAAAGTTTTATCGTTGATGTTTTGGCGGGGGACCAGACGTAACAACCCTTGGGGAAATAGTATTAAGGTTGCAAACACTCGAGGATCCCCATCTTTGCTAACTTCACCATCTTTCCCCTTGGGCTAAGTTCCACTTATCTATATTTTCTTTCGCAATTGCACATAATTCTTCATTCTCTTGTAACGCGCCTTTCAAGGTTATTCATAAAAAGAATTAAGGATATCCATAAATGGACTTAAGGATATCCAAAAATGGAATTAAGGATATCCATGAATCGATTTATAGGTAAAACTGTTTTTTATTATTGTTTTCTCAGTTTATGTTTCCAATGTACACAATTAACTGATAACAACAGATAAATAGAAAATAGATGTCTCCTTATTTTTGAATTATCGATACTCTGTTCATTGAAGAACATTTATCACAAAGATTCTTTTGATATGCAGACTGCTGTCTGAACTTTGCTGATTTACCTGACCTACATATAATATTTTAAAATAGCTGAGTATATCGACATCGTAAGTAACTTAATGCCTGTGTAACCGTTAAGATTTTCTGTTTTTCCCGGACGCTTAGTCCTCTTTTTGGAATACATTCATGTTTTATCATCACAACAAATAACCTATATTAGATATTATTGCTACCATCGCAGAAGAAAGAAATCAATATTTTAAAAATTTACAATGGCTTCTCATTTATCCGTATTTGATCTGATAAAATTGTTAAGATTTTCATCAAATAAATAATCATTTTTGTTTTGGAAAATCATTTATAAATTTCAATTTATTTCATGTCCTTCCCAGTTTTATTACAATGTTGTTGGATGTATCTTTCTATCTGAGAAAACGAGATGTCGTACTCTAAAAGCAGAATGAAGATTCCCGGTGCTTTGAATCCATTGAACGGCAGATAACAAGCAGTGACAGATTTACATTTTTGTTAGTTTCTGTCATTAAAGACATGCGTTTCTTTAATTTACTAGTTTCTACAGGTAGATTAAGAAGATATAATATTTTTAAGTTTGATGTTTATTTGTTCTTTTCTTTTTCAACAATTTTAGTTCTTAACATTCTTAGCAAAGCAATGTTTCTCGCTTTGTCGAGTGTCCCGCCAAAGCAAGTGTGTGCTAGTGGATGAGAATGTCACACAGGGACTTGGCACACATTCTCAGCCTGCGATTCATATAACCTGTATATGGACCATGGACTGGGATTTCGTGTCAAGTCCTCGTGGGGTGTCGTGTTGTGTACTAGTCATCGCACTGAAAACGCCCGTGGGTTGCCCCGCCGTCTTCCAACCCATAATCACTTATCAATTAAATTCAGATTTCAATCAATAAAGCAAAAAGTATCCGGAAAAAATTAGCTTTTAAACAGACTCGAACATTATGACGTTGATTGCCAGTTTTACTAGACTTTTATCCTGACAGTTTTACTAGACTTTTATCCCGCCAGTTTTACTAGACTTGTATCCCGCCAGTTTTACTAGGCTTTTATCACACACCCCAACCAGTTTTACTAGACTTTAATCCCGCCAGTTTTACAAGACTTTAATCCCGCCACTTTTACTAGACTTTTATCCCGCCAGTTTTACTAGGCTTTTATCACACACCCCAACCAGTTTTACTAGACTTTTATCCCGCCAGTTTTACTACACTTTTATCCCGCCAGTTTTACCAGGCTTTAATCACACACCCCAACCAGTTTTGCTAGACTTTTTTCCGCCAGTTTTACTAGACCTTTACCCCGCCAGTTTTACTAGACCTTTATCCCGCCAGTTTTACTAGACTTAAACCAGCCAGTTTTACTAGACTTTAATCCGTTAGTTTTACTAGACTTTAACCCCCCCCCCCCCCACCTCAGTTTTACTAGATTTTACACACACCCACCCCCAGTTTTACTAGACTTGTAGACTATATCCAGTCCGTTTATTATATACAGTGACGTCCTTTACTATAAAGACGCATGTTTCGTGAATCTTTAAACTTATCGTTACCGTTCTCTATTTAAAAAGGGAAGTAACTCGAGCCACTTTGTTACGCTCACTGGATTAATCTAGTGTAAAGCGATTGAAATTTTCACCGCATGCTTGAAAATCCTAACCGATAGGAAGAACCACCTGTATATCTCGTCGGCTGAAATGCCGAAAAGCAGTAATAAGATAAATAAATCTTACATATAGCTGCCAGCGTGAACACGGAGACATTCTTTTATTTGATTTAAACATATTTTATTGTATTAATATATACATTGGGATTGGGCACAAGTTGGCCAACTTATATTAAGCCCTTTTCTGAAAACTATTGTACAAACAAATATACAAGATGGCATGTTTAAGTGACAAAAGTATCAGAGAGAGAGAGAGAGAGAGAGAGAGAGAGAGAGAGAGAGAGGGGGGGGGGGAGGGAGAGAGAGAGAGAGAGAGAGAGAGAGAGAGAGAGAGAGAGAGAGAGAGCTAGCTAACAACACAATTGTAATATGACGTTTATAAAGATAATATAGTTAATATGGTCTCTCCAAGACAAGGACAACACCATGAACTGTTCACTGTACATTGCTTTCTTACTTTTCTAATGTTCATCACGTCCCGTGCTCATTTTTTTGGAAAAGAACACTAATAGATACACTTCTTTTAAGGCCTATCAAAATTTGTACACTAGTTTGTATATTCGTTCAACTTCAAAATTGTCAATCTTCATCTAAATATCATATAGAGTGCCTAAGTAATCCTAGTATATCAACAGTAAAATAAGCTAGGCCATAGTTTCAAATGTTATTTCTCAGAAACGGCAACCGTACCAGTTAAAACACGAGACGGACGCCGGACACCATGCCGGATTGGGCGACAGACTGACGCCGTGCCGAATTGAGCGACAGACGGACGCCGGACACCATGCCGAATTGGGCGACAAGTTATGATGGTTTTTTTTTTTACCAATTAGATTAAACGCACACCTGTTACAAAGACATACATTGAAATACATCATGATATGGTGGATGTCAGGTTTGTTGAAGACGCATCACATGCTACGTTGGAAGATAGGCTACCGTTTCATTGTAATAGCAGGATTCAGACACGCTCACTTCTCGTGTTCTGATGTTGACGTGTTGCGTCTGTTATTTATTCAATATTTATTCCCAATTCCATGGTAAACACAGCGTAAGAATTAATCTACATTTTGATAGAATATTTATCACGAAAAAGAATTAGCTGTCGCGTGTGTATCGTTTATAACCGCTAAAGGTACATCTTATCGATCTGATTGCGTTACTTTTATACAGGTAATTTTTTATATTACATTTCGGTCTGTAATAAGAAACATGCATGATGCTGGCGATACAATAAGCGGAATTTGGTCCAGGAGTACGCGTAATGTTTTCAGCAACAGTTCATAAATGTGTTTCTTTCTAAATTTTTTTAAACTAATGTAAACTACGAACTTTTATAAACCTGTAAGTCCCTGGTTCAACAAAAGCTGCCACCTTGTCAGCTTCTAAGTAATATTACCGCTAATTATTTAACCAAGGAAATATATGGAAAAGTAAAGATTTCACATGAAAAAAAACACTTGAATTTTCTTTCTCCCAGGGGCTATTGCTCTGTTTGACAACACATTACGCAATCTGACGCGATACCACTTTAGGGAATCCTGTTGGACGAGTACAAAGCGTTCTACGTCACTATTAAATCTCAAGGGTGGAGGTTTCCCATTTTGAGACCACCCCCGAAATTCACGGTCCGTTCAGGTAAACGCTTTGAAGACAGCGACAGGTGAGGGGATTTTAGTGAGGTGTTTTCACTTCGCCGACTTCAATCAAATCTGAAAATGGCGACGCCGAAGTCGCCAGCAAAATTTCGCTCTTGGAGTTCGATGGACTCTATCGACCCAGCTGACATTCGTCGACTCTATGACCCAGAATCATCGTCAAAGTCTTCGTCAGTGCGATGTGTGAGCACATGGATGTTTTCATTACTTATTCTGGGATCTTCGGTTTTATTTCTGATAGGTTTACTTGTAGGATACTACGTGAGGGAAAGCCAAAACTTCGATAATGATCACGGGAGTATAGCACATTGTTTTTACGGTGAAAGAAGCGATGGCTTTTCACCACAACAAGTAGACTCTGCACACGAGAATGTCATGTATCTACTTTCATCTGAGAATATCAACACATTACAAAGGTGAGTATTTAAATTTGACAGGTAATTAAAGTAAGGATTTGTTTATTTTCCGCTGTGAAATAGAGTTTCGATTTGGTCTATTCATTGGCTGTGATAAAATCTGTCATGTAACTTTTTAATGGATTTACGTTGAAGATTTTATTTAAAAATCAAAACAGTATAATAGCATTTTTTGTTACATTATATAATTTAAAAACAAGACAATAAATGGCTGTTTGCCTTTTGTTACTATCAATTTCATACTTTATTTTTGACATCATCAGTCATTTTGATATTAATGTTTTATTAAGAAAAACAGGAAAATAATTAGATAAATAGGAATGGAAATTAAAAGGTTTTGTTTTGCATGTCAGATATTTATTTATTTACTTTTTTTTGAAGATGAAAAAAATGAATGAAATATCAACAACAAGTATATAGACATTGCTGATATATGAAATGTGTGGTATTCATAATGATCCATTATATCTGTGGAATATTTTATATGACCATCATTAGAATGGCCTTATACCACATTCATACCTCAAAATGATGATACAGGTATCAGCAGAACTGTTCATGACGTTAAATATTAATACACCATGGTCAGGTGAGCTCTGCCTTTTGTCACCCCTGTCTGGATGACATCTGTCATGTGTTCTGTAACCACAGATATCCTGCTGACAGTGTCACCACAAACATAATGTCCCAAAATTTTTTGTGTCATCACCGGTCAATTTAAATCTGACCACTACAGTCTGCATGAGTAAAAAACACACATTATACATCTGGAAATCTCTTAATATTTGTTTTCTTTGTACAATTCACCTCTAAACCATGGACTTTGGTATACATAAGTTTGTGAACATATTCAAGTGAAAATATTCTCATCTGGATCATTTCTCGTTGAATGCATTTTAGGATTTGAAGAAAGTTTCCCTAATTAAAGATTCATATAATGCTTTAATATTTTAATAAAGTCAGATTAACGAAACATCTAGGAAACTAGAGATGTGTTATCTGTCTGGTATGAATCTGGGGCAATGTTTAGTCCAGGAGCTGATAGTACATGTACCACACTAATTTTTTATGAGGTAACACAAATTAATCCTTCCAAAAGATATCAGTGAATAAATACTACTTTAATATTATACAACAGTTTTTTCTTCGTTCATCATCAGCCTTTTCAATGCCCTGTGATAAGCCCATAATCTGGGGATAATCCCAAAGTGTGCCTCAACGGGATCCTTGGCCCCTGAAATTAAAATTTACCCCTCCATTGTTCAATTTCCTTTAAATTATTAAAGGATGGCTTCACTAATTTTTTACTTTGCCCTGAGCTTCTGTACGATTTTCAGTGTCAGAGGTAATGTATTGATATGGGCTTATTTTTCAGGTAAAATACATGAATAGTATAAAGACATACAAATATAGTGACACCACCTGTCAAAATTTTGTAAATAAAACCTTCAACAATTATATGAAAAAGTCTTCAACAAACCGTTAACAATTAAGATTTTTAAAGAAAAAGAAAAACTGGTTTGCCCACCTGCAGTCAATAAATCTAAACAACATGTAATTACTGGTAAAGGCAAGGATTGAAGTTTTGCACTCACTTATTCTTTGGTCAGGTTCGGATATAGTTACACAAGAGTGACAAATTGTGGCTGCCCCTCCTGTCGCTGGACAAAGGGAGGTGATATATAACTTGTACTCTGGACAATATCTAATCCTACCTGCTTATTACATGGTACAGATAATTCTAGCTGATGTCACTTTCGTTGTTGTATTTCTTTCACCTGGTTCGACTTGCTTGAACTTTATGACCAAAGTGTACTGATGCTACTGTAGATAAGTGATATATACCTTAACACAAACAAGATACCCTTGTTTAACAAAGTCAACAAAGTTGTAACTACTGAACAGTCTTAAATCAGTCGGTGTATCTACAGGTAATTCTGGTTTAAAGTTTTTAACCTTTAGTTTTTCATAATACTGATTAATTGTTAAAATGTTTGAAATCTCATCCAGATGAGCTATAATTTCTGTGTTTTCCACAAGCTAATGAAAAAGATGATACATGTACATCAAGCCTGACTACCTTATAAGCTGCATCTAAGAGTTAACTTCTGTAAACTTTAAAGGTGTTTTAAGCTTCTTTAGGGGGTTAAAACATCAAAGAAATTGATGAAGGGACATTCTTTATTATGATGGTGTCTTTTTATAAAAGAGTGAAGATTTGACAGAATTTTTTTCATGGAAGGTGTTAAAAGCTGTGTGCATCATTAGACAATTCTCCCTCAGGGATTTCAAAACAAGTTTTCCTCTTGATTGCCCAGAATCTGACAAAAGACACGCCCCTCTGTTGGTACAAAGAGCTTCACCTTTGATTGCTTACAAAAGGGGTCTGGCCCCTTAGTTTGGAATGAAACACAAAACGGACAGCTGTTGTTCCATAGTACTAACTCAACAAAGATGACTTTTGGGCTATCATATTGGGCACCACCAAAGCAACAAACATTGTTGAAGATGATAAAAATAGACCTGTTAAGTTTTCTTCTAAAGTTGACAGTAAAGGACTAAATATAATCATGTATTAGTACATAGTTAGGCATTAAGCTTCAATTATTTGTGGAATTGTTTAAAGTGTTGTTGGGACAAAGGAAAATTTCTTTCAGCTCATGCACTATGCAGTCTTACCGAGTTTCAAATCTTGGCTACCAATTAACATTTAATTTACTGTTATGTAATCTCTGAACACAAGCTTATCATATAAATTACAGGGTAGTGAGATAATAAACATTTAAATATTGTTTAACAAAAAACAGGTAACAAAGTAGATAGCTGACTGTGTTTGTCAGACAATATGACGATAGACACTGTAGTGAACAAAACAACACATCATAAAAATTTGGAAAAAAATTTAAAAATAAAAAAAAAAAAATTGGAATATTACTGAATGTGCTTTTTGAAAGGTGGAAGAAATCAATTTCCTCTAGGAAATATTCTTTGAAGTATTTGAGAACAATTATATGAAAACAAAGGTGGTAGTTTGGTGGACACGTTTTGTTGAAATAATTGTTAACATGGAATGTTCAGACTTGAAAATGAATGGAATGTTTATTATTTTCATTCTTGTATATTGGTAACATTGTTAAATATTTCTTTGTATTCACAATGCATAATAAATCCTCTCTTGGGTGAACTAATCTGCTACCCTTCCTAATCCTACCGACCAGAATCATTTCAATTGTGACCATTTTATAACTGATTGGTTTGTTTGAATGAAATGTAATTTGAAATTTTAACATAGCTTTGGAATGTACATGTGTTCATTTAATACACCAGTTGTGTATATGTTATAGCTGAAGTTAACCCCTTGATCAGGAGATATACATCACAGGTCATTGATAATGCAAATTATTGTTTTTGTTCGATTAAACAAGATTAATAAATGGCTATTATAATAGTAGTATTGATATTAATTAATGTTGGGCCATATCTCTTAATGGTTCCTGATTGGTTGATCAATGTCGATACTGGACTACTTTTTCATATTGTAAAAGTTAATGATTGTCATGAAATTTTTTCCTTTTTTCGTGCAAGAGGAATTGTTTTGGATAGCACACAAATTATAGTGATTTAACAAGAAAAATTCTTATCAATGATAAAAGGCACAACAATGAATATTGTAATAATTCATAGCTAATTTGATCCAGATAGTACTTCCACAGTGTTCTGTTAGGTAACACTGGTATATTTATGGCTCTAATTGTAAAGTTTTTCGAATCCGTATATTGATTTTTGGGATTCAAATATTTGAGGCTATGTGCACATGTCTGTACCTTGACTCATCAAAATTTAGAAAATGATGCTCTGGACCCACCAGAAAAAATCCTTCAAAAATGACTTCTTTTTGTTCAGAATCTCTAATAGGTCTCAATAATTGTCCCTAATTTTAACATTCATTGTTTTTGGTTATAGTTACTTACAAAATAATAACAGAAAATGAAATATTAATCAGTTGCCATGGAAACAATTTTCTAACAAATACTTTTCACTTATTGCAATGAAATATAAAAAAAGAAATGAAATGGAAAAAAAAAAATTGAAATAGTAAGGGGAGATAATCCTTTGTCAGAGGTGTATATATAGAGCTTTTGAAATTATATATGATTCACAAAGTGTAGTTTATAACCTTATTTCTTTAGAAGAATTGTAAATATTTAATCAGTTATGAAAATTTAGTATGGAACTTGATTAAATTTCATTTTGAGTATAACTATTATAAGATTTTTTCACCTGGTCCGTTACTGAAGCTTAAGAGGAAAGTACAGACATAATGTACATGCATGCAGTCAATGGAGATGGTGTTATTGAGCTGTGTAATAGAAAATAATCTCCATTTGTCACCGAAAAGATTGATCAATGTATGAATAGTACATGGATCTACACCAAAACACCTGGTCTATTAGGAATTTGTACATGTGTCAATAAAGATTGTTACTTTCTTTGTGGAGTCATTTGGTTACTGTAAAACTCCACCTGCTGACAGAGAGTTACACAGATCAGGCGGATATCTGTTTACTTAAACTTTACAAGGATTCACTGCATGTCCAGGCCCAATAAGGAGCCCTGCCCCTAAATCACAGTCTGGGCTCTAGTGCAGTCTGTCATTGAATTTTTTTATGGTGTTCTAGGTTTTCTTGTGTGTCTAGAGAGCACAATACAGTGTCTAGTGCAATATAGGAAGTCTGTTTTATGTTATAGCTGTATATAATTGTTTTGGCTAGATGTCCTTGTGTTAACCAAGTTTTCATCTCCATTCCAAAATATTTACAATATACCTTTAACCAGAGCTTAAGTACTTTAAAGTGATTTTTTTCCGAGGTATAACTTTAAAGACTTTCTGTCTGATTTTTAGGAAAGATCACTTTAAGCAATCTTTAATGCATAATTTATAGAAAACTTTGAAAAAAGATGAATCCAAATGTTAAATATAAAATGATCTCTGGCAGGAATCCT